TTCTGCGGAGTGCTTGGAGGTAGGTGCGAGAGAGGCAGCTCTTCATTACTTTTTTACTTGGGGTCATATTTTTCTAGTTCAATACTTAACAAAATACTATAAATACATTTAACTTCTACAAATATAATTTATAAAGTTTTATTGTGATTGGGCTGGAAAAATATGACCCTATGAGTGGGAGCTGCGTCAGTTGGTATTCCTGGCTGACCACACAGTCATGACACTAACTGTGTCTTTTGTTTTTCAGCTGAGGGGCCACTCGCAGGCAGTGACATTTTGAAGATTTGTCTTTTTTTTTTTTTATCATTCTAGGTGGGTTCTAATTATTAAAACATATGTATACATATATATAAAAAAGGTTTGTTTTTCTCCCCCTCTCTTGACACATACAAGATCAGTTTTTAAGGGTCTGAAACAGTGATGTCTGGACAAGTGTACAGACATCACGGTAGGGAAAAATCCGACCACCCTTTAGCAGAACAAATGATAACATCTATGCCTGCTTCTCTCTGGGCAGAATCGCCTACGGATGTTGGGCTTGTTTCTTGTTCTCCTATTTCATTTCAGGTGGACTCTCAGAGACCCCTCTGGATTCCTCAGTATCCACACAAACCAGCAGCTGAACAGGGCATCGCAGGAACAATAACAGGGCTAATTAAGGCTGGTGTGCTGGAACCCTCACAGTCTGATTGGAACACTCCCATTCTCTCAATGAAAAGAAAAAAAAAAGGTACCAGTAAATACAGAATGGTCCATTAAAGCCACCTTCCTGGTTTTGCAGCACCTACATGAGGCAGGTTTTAAGGTCAGTAAAAACACATTGCAGACTGCAACTCTCCCTCCTGGACTACACCTTGCTGTTTTTCCTTGATGTTTCTGTAACAAAACTGACAGTTCACGGAGTTTTGTTCCAGAAAAAAAGGGGGAGAGAGAAAAGTACTGATGTACTTATCTGTAATGATGGACAACATGGGAAAAAGGCATCAAACATGCAGCTGGGATAGCCAAGTTCCAAACATTTTATTCACACATGCAGGCATAAACATGGCAGAGTGTTTTGCAGAAGGAGAACCACACGAGTGTGCAGAGCAGGTGGCAAAGACAGAGAAGGTAAGACCAGACCTGGAAGCAGCTCCTCTGATGGGACCAGAGGTGAGACAGTTGTTTCAGACACACAAATTTAGCCATGAAGTGTTCCTCAGAGGAGGAATTAAATGACAAACTGACATTGGAAGAGGTGAAAAGATGCCAAAAGGGGGCGTCGCTTGAAGAGAAAAACATGTGGAAGCACAGGGGCGCCACTGAAACAAATAGATGCTGAAGGGGCCCAGATAGCAGGTTAATTCTGCCCCCTGGGAAAAAACAGGAGCTGTTTCAGGAGGCTCATGGGGTTGGACATGTGGGGACTAAACAGATGAGGCACAACCTTAAAGAATGGTGGCACGCTTACATGGTTGACATGGTGAAACATTTGGCCCTAAATTATTTATACTTTATTTAAACGATATTTTTGCAGTATCTAGTATTTTAAAGTTTATAATGTTTGCGGATGATACAAATTTATTTTTTTCGGGAAAAAATATGGATGACTTAATTAAAATAGTACAAAAAGAGTTAGTAGAGTTGAAAACATGGTTTGACTATAATAAGTTGTCGTTAAATTAAGGAAGAACTAAATTTATGCTATTCTCTGGTAATCGGGTATATAATAATGTACAGTTATGCATAAATGGAGTTGGAATTGAAAGAGTCTATGAGACAAAATTTTTAGGAATTATTATAGACAATAAACTTAGCTGGAAGCCTCATATACAATATATTAGAAACAAAGTTGCAAAAACTATTGGAATATTGTTTAAAATAAAAGATTTAATAAATGTTAAAGGCTTGCATATTATTTATTCTTCTTTGGTTATGCCTTATTTGTCTTATTGCTCTGAAATCTGGGGAAATGCAAGTAAAACAATTATTGAAATATTAGTTAAGCTACAAAAAAAAAAGCTGTAAGGCTTTTTTTTTTGCCTTACAATAAAGTGGGATACCGGGAACCAACGGATAAACTTTTTAGTCAAAGTAATATTTTAAAATTTAAAGATATTGTCTATATAAAAATACTGGAAGTAATGTTTAAAGCATTGAACAAAAATCTCCCTTCAGGTATTCAGAAATTATTTAAGTTAAGAGAGAATAAATATAATTTGCGAGGTTTGTTTATATTTGAATGTGCAAAAGAGAAGAGCCAGATAAAGTCTAGATGTATTTTAGTTATTGGTGTGAAATTGTGGAATGAAGTAAGTGATGAATTTAAGTTATGTTCTTTTTTTAGTAAACTTTAAAAGAGCTTTAAGATGTAAAATGATAAAATCTTACGCTATTATTTAGACATATATATGTATTGTGAAAATATCCTGGTAGGTTACAGGGTAAAAAAAAAAAAAATAGGGTAGGCAAGAATAAGCTTTGCTTCAGCCTATTCCTTTATTGGTAAATTGTGGGTTACTTATTGTTTAGTGTTATTTCTTTGTTGTTTCTGGTGATGTGGACAGTTTACCAAAATAAAGTGAATGAATGAATGAATGAATGTTTGCATTTTCTATTTTTAAGTATTGTCTAACATGTCTTCATATTAAAGTTTATCTTATTAACCTTTGGTTTATTGAATCTATTACCTAACACTTTAAGCTTTTTGCATTTTAATAACTATTAATCAGCTTATATTTTGTTGAGATTTACTGTATTACCTTAACATTTTGCTCACTTTACATTTTATTACTCTTTAACATTTTACTAATAGATTTTTAAACGTCATCCGCAATTTCAAAATATTGTTTTAACATTTTTATAACCATTACTCATTTTTAGCATTTTATTAATGTCACAGTTTATCAACATTCACATATTATTTGAAAAAATGCACTCATTTATAGTTCAACACTCACATTTTCTTCTAACAATTAAATGTCTTTTAACATCTTATTTTGTTGAATGTTATTGTTTAGGGACATTGTGATTTCGATCTGCCGCCTTCGGAGGCGTGGGGTGCCCTATCTGTTTTACCTCCAACAATTGGAAATGAAATGACATGAAAAACAACAGCAAAGTTTGAAGACGGGTCAACATCCTCCTCGGGGGATGTTTCCAGATAGGGGCAATGTCAACTCAGGATGGAGAGCCCTCTTAATTTGTGTGGTCTCTTTGAGACCAAAAGGGGGAGTTGTTGAGGCGCTTTCCAAGGTCAAATACACATATATGCTTCTACACACATTACACTCTCATAGTTTCACACAAAGGCCTTTGTATTTGTAACTGATACAGAAACTGAATCATCTCCTCACTCCCATCTCCAGGGAAATAGCGTTTTAGGTGACGCAGGACATCAGATGACCACTGGGCGTGTTCTTAGATCATAAGCAACGAATCTTCCCGTTTTTAATTACATGCTGTATAGACTCGGAGCCCCTTGGTTTCACTTCTAGTCTGCATCTCTTTTTTAACGCTAAAAAAGAATAAAAAACGTAAAGTCTGATTGCTTTCTGTTGACTGATTTGCTGCTCGTGTGCTTGCACGTTTTTGGTCTATCAGGTTTAGAATACATGATGTTTTTCACAACAGCATACATTCTGATGTAAAATATATACATTGTATCTGCCACACAGGCCCCCTCCGAACACACAGATTACCACAAACACAAAAACACATAACATGTGAAACAACATCACAAATACATAAAAGTAAACACACACAAAGAAACAGCAGAAACAAACAAAACAATTGAAATACCTAATGGTAACGGCTAGGGCAGGGGTGTCAAACTCCTGTCCTCGAGGGCCACTGTCCTGCAGTTTTTAGATGTGCCACAGGTACAAAAAAAATGCAGGAATGAAATGGCTTAATTACCTCTTCCTTGTGTAGATCAGTTCTCCAGAGCCTTGCTAATGACCTAATTATTCTATTCAGGTGTGGTGCAGCAGAGGCACATCTAAAAGTTGCAGGACACCGACCCTCGAGGACTGGATGTTGACACCCCATGCGCAACATGATCTCTTGTGAGTCTCACCAGTATTGGTTCTTTATTGTTGTCAGTGATTAAGTGTTGCTTAGGGAGCGGTACAGCGATCAATGAGAGAACCCTTCTCGTCAATTATTGACACAAAGGGGTACCCGATGCGTCAACATGTGACGCTGAGGGAACCTGCCCCATCGTCAATATATGACGAGTCGGGAGTGAGAATGTGTTGGATTAAGAGCTCACTAAGATTCCAGCCTATTTTCTGGTAACTCTTTTACGAAAGATGTCAAACCTTGATTGCAGCTTTGCTGATAATTTTCAAGCAACTTCAAAACCACAATTTCTTTAGATTCTTAGAAAAAGTTGTAAAAGTCAAAACAGATTACAATGTAAGTTACATATTTCTGCGTTCTTTCAGTGTGACTTTCAAAATCAGCATGCCACTGAGATAGATCCTTGGAAAGTTTCTGATAATCTTTTAAAGGCTTCTGATGCAGAAAATTTATTCATAATAAGCTTATTTTAACAAGGTTTGTCCCATTAGAAGATTTATTTTGCAACAGTCTTGGTCAAAAATGGTGGCATATGAAAAACAACCCCAGTTACAATATATACAATATATGTAAAGTCACAAAAATGAAACAATTGCACTTCTGTTTTGAACATGACAGGATTTCTACATACAAAAACGTGTTTGACGTTTTTGAAATGTTTGAAGCTGGGATTTCAAATGTTCTTTGATGTTGGAGCAGAGAAGCTGGTATTTGGTTTTATATTAAAAGTAGGGCCTTTGTTTTCAAGTTCGTACCCTCACTTAAGAAAAATAGTCAAAGCTTTACCTCCTAAACTTTTCTGATTCAATGTACACGACATAAATCAGCGGAGAGCTTAAGAAAAGTCAGAGGTAATATTCAAACCTAATTGCAGAAATAGACGGCCTCTATGAAGAATGTCACCCTCTGTCAGAACAGAGGGTGGCAGCAGTACTCCAGCGGTACTTCCGTCTATCTGGACCGGAAAGAAGAAGAAAAACTTAATAGTATGACCACTCTATCGCGGAACATCGCGTGGACTTTGGCAAGATTCAAACTGGTTTGCGGAAAGAAACCGTTTTTATCCCTGTTCTTTTCCAGACACTATTGTTCAAACCGCACGAAAGGATCGCAGCAGCGCGCTGGAGCTGTCCAAAAGGGCTTTCTTCATAGAGAAGCTGCTCTCAGCTGGTTTTCATCAATTGGTTGCGTTTCAGCTGTTCAGTTGAACAGGAGAATCAGCATGTTTTCCAGCTCAACGTCACACAGGATGGTGTGGGTGGACCTGGAGGCAAGTCTGTTGCTCATGGCATTAACGTGTTCAAGCTTTAGAAACTGCTTATAAAAAAAGGCTCACATAAAACGAGATGTAGACTTAAAAGCTCAAATATGTAAGTGGATTTCAGTAGATTCTATAGAAAATTAAAACTTGTATTTTGTACTTGTGCACCTAGCTGCAGTCACATTGTATAAGCTTCCCTCTAATTACATTAGCAATGAAAAATTGTAAATAGACACAATGTGTTGTAAAAGTGTGTTTGGTTACTCACTTTTTTTGTCAGGTTTAAGTGACAAAGGTAGGAAAAAGACCAATTCTCTTGGCCAAAGTTGTCCAACTCCAAATTAAATGCAGACAAATGCAGATCACCGCAACTTTTTTTGCACATCAATACGTTGTACGTCTGTTATCAAAAGCAGCGCAGTTACATTGTGTTCACCGAACTGCGCAGGTTACTTTCTACCTGAAATGATAGGATCTGCTTAATATAGACTGATAGAGTATTACACCGCTATTACACAGCTTCAATGTCACATAGTATCTGTACCAAAAACTATTTAGCAAGGTTTAGTAAAAAAAAGAAAATAAAGTGTAATTAAACTAAAATATTTTAAAGTATAGGGGCAAAACAGCCCACAAAACAACACATTTTGTCCTGATTAACCACCAAAACAATGACTTGTTGACAGTTGCAATGACATTGCACACGGTAAACTAAAGCCTTTCATTAAATTGCTGTTTGACTTCATGTTTTTAGTTTGCATGACAGGCAGCTTGTAAATATATTTATATTTACAAATATATTGAGCTGCCTATATATTTACAGGAGGATTGTAAATATATATATATAGTTATAAATATATTTAAATGTAAACTAAAAACATGAAGTAATACAGCAACTTAATGAAAGCCAGGCATAAAACAAATTAAATAAAGCTTACCGTAATGTTCAATTAAATAAAACACATGAAATGAAACTTTCACAGGTAGGACGTATTTATAAAAAAAAAAAAATTGCAGAGTAAGCAGTATGTGATGTAGCATTGATGTGCGCATACGGATTACCATAAGGTAGGACGGATTTACGGGTAGCACAGATAAACAGAACACCTGTTCTTGAGAGCTGACTGAGTTTGGGCACCACTGGTAAGCCGCGCTACCACATAGATTGGGCATCAGCCAATGAAACGCGGCTACTGTGGTAAGGTCCATTATCTGGCGCAGTCTTTGCTTCCCATTTACACGTGTCCTGTTTACACATTATCGAAGTAATTCACTACAGTTCATCACTGCATGTGACGTTTTCAATTTAAAGGTGGAAATGTGGCAATGGTGGTTTTTGACCTGAGTGAAGTTACCCCCTCCTGCACATCTTCTTCAAATTAGACAAAATTGGCATTGGTGCTACGTTTGTGCAGCAAAAATTTTCATTTGTACTGCTATCATTTTAAAGATATAAATAAATGTTTTTAGAGGTCATCAAAGGTCAGCCAGATCCCCCACCTTCTTCAAATCAGACGAAATAGGTGTCTTCAGAGCCAAAGCAGCACAAACAAAAATCTTTGCTGCACAAACGTAGCCGACTTGATTGACATGTATTTCGTCTGAATTTAAGAAGATGGGGGTCTGGTTGACTTTTTATGACCTCTAAAAACATTTCTTTACATCTTTAAAATGATAGCGGTACAAATAAAATTTTTTGGTGCACAAATGTAGCACAAACGTTTGACACCAATTTTGTCTGATTTGAAGAAGGTGGGGCGACCAACATCACTCAGGTTTATTTTTGGTCTATTTAAAATTTTAAGAAAATAATATGACAAGGTACACACCAGTAACAGGAAAGTGTGACAAAATCTGAGCAGAAAAAATAAAAAAATAAAAAACATAGTCACACAAACTATGAGGAAAGTGAGGCAGAAAATTTTATGAGTGCATGAGGAATTTCACATTTTAAATTAAGTCAAATATAAAAAGCCAAATGAACATTGGGCTTTTCTGCACTTTCTTAAATACATGTCACTTAAAAATATTAAAAATGGGGTTGATTTTTAGAAAGTGGCATTGATGAATAAAATGTTAGCCAGAAGGTTAAATCGTCAATGTCATATTTTGACTCTTCGTCCCCTGTTAGATCAACTTATATTATATCAAAACGTGGAAGAGAAATAGATCTTTTGAAAATCTTTCCAAACACATTATTGAAGTTGCAATTGAAAAAATTTGTTCTGTTGTCTTGATATTTTAGTCACATTTCGCAGTCGGAAATATGGCAGTGTTCACTGTGCAAGCTGATTGCTGAAAAATCTGTTTTCAAACAATTAATTTTGTGCTTGAAACAAAAAAAAAAAAAAAACAAGTATTGAAATAATTTTTGTTTCACTTTACTATACTCTACTGAATAGTATAAAATTTTACTCTGTATCCAACAAGTCATAACAAAACACATTTGAACAGCCAAATATCTCCTGGAAAGCAAAAATACCAATATTGCACTTTAAATAATAGTTTCTTGTTGTAGGTATACTTTTTAGCAGCACAAGTGCCAAAACGATGACTGCTCCCACCATTTTGAAAGTCCAAGTTGGGACTCAGAGGTGTACTGTGCCAATTCTCAAATTTTTGCATGCTTGTAACCTGCATACTTGAACACTTATGTTCACTTTGACTGAGTGCACACTTCACAGAGACGAGTAGAGTGCAGTGTAAGTATTGGTGCAGGCCTCAAGCTTTACAAGCCTCACCTGACAAGTTTTAGGTCAGAGTTTATGCTCCAGCAATAAAAGTGCTGGCAGAGGAGAGTTGAAAGACCATAACAATTGCTGAGCAAAGGGAACATAAAGCCCCATCACACTTTGATGATCCCCAATACTTCTGGAAAAATTTTGTATAACCTTTTGGAAGGTTTATGTTCTTTTACATCTCAAGTAAAACAGAGCATTTCAGAAAAGGACGCTTTTGAACATGCTTGGGTTATATGTTAACCCAAGCATGCCTTGGAAAATCCTTGGAAAATCCCTCATTAACTTCTGCTCAAAAAATATTTGTTCTGTTAAAAACTTAAGTCAGAGACTAAACTGTGACACATTTGAGTATTTCTTTAAGTCTCTGTTAAGACTTACTCTTGTGTTCTATTTTTATTCTTTCAAGATGACAGGTTTAGATGTTGAGAAGGACCAAATCATTGAAATGGCCTGCATCGTCACAGACTCTGATCTGAACATTATAGCAGAGGTAATACAAACAATAAGTGCTTCAGTGTGTGATGACTTCAGTTTGTCTTGGAAATTAAGCTCATTTCTTGTTGCTTTCTAGGGACCATCCATAATCATCAACCAACCAGAAATGCTTCTGGATGGAATGTCGGACTGGTGTAAAGAGCATCATGGAAAGGTAGATGATCATCTCAAACTGCCACAAACTGTGTCTGTTAGTATTTGGTTTGTGTTCTTTCTAATGAAATGGTCCATTCTTTCATCCATCCATTCGGGGATTTCTATGAATGGTGTCATACTTGTTGCTTTATCTGTTTGTATTAGTCAGGACTGATCCAGGCTGTCCAAAACAGTAAAATGACCCTGGGACAAGCAGAGTATGAATTTCTGTCCTTTGTCAGGCAGCACACTCCACCTGGACAATGCCCCCTTGCTGGTAAGTTTAATCCACACTGTAACTATTCATAGATAAACTGTAAACATTACAGTAGGTTGTCAGAAAAGCTATAGAATCACACTTGTTAAGTGACTCATACACTAGAGTGCTGTGTTGTGGTTGAAACAACTTTGCTTGTGTTTACAGCTCTGAATGTATTTATCAGAATGCATGAGTATTACATAGAGTAATTCTACTGAACTATTTCAGCATCATACTCAGTATGGTAAATGTGTTTAACATAAATTGGCTAACCAGTGACCAAATTAATAATTGATACATTTAATAATAACTCTTTTTAAAAAAACAGATCACCACTTAAGTTCACAGCTAAATGTCAGCTGGTGTGTTACCTTTAACCCTCATGAGAGGGAGGATTTATCTTGCTATCATGTTGTTGTATCAAGACCTTAATATTCATATTTTATTATTTCTTCTCCAGGCAACTCTGTGCATGCAGATAAAAGGTTCCTGGACAAGTACATGCCACAATTCATGTACCATCTTCACTACAGAATCATTGATGTCAGCACCATCAAAGAGCTCTGCAGGTAAGGATTTGATCTTCCAATGAGTTGTGAAGCTTCCAGAACTCAAAGTCTTGTTCACACACATCAAATGTTGCATTTCCTCCCAACGTTACTGAGAATACTGAATGGATGAGATGATCTGCTGAGGAACCTGAATTCAAGCAAAAACATTTGAATTTGCAGTAGTATGAAAAAAAAACAGTGAAAATGTAAGAAGTACAATATAAACATATTGTACATTCCACAATAGGGAATTGTGGAATGTAGTTGAAGTCATTCAGGTTTCAGCAGCTTTAGTTTGCTTTCACACCACATTGGTGTTCGGTCCATATATAGTGCATATAGTCCAATACCATATCACTGGTCAATCTATCTGCCAAATTCCTATATTTTCTTTTGTGTTGTATTTATATTTTTTATTTATATTCTTAGTCCTTGCTTATTTTTGCTTGATTTAGGGTTTTGGCTACTCACATTTAGTGTGTACCTTTGTACTGAATTTGTATTTGCTGTATTCTTTTGTATTTTGCGCATTGTGTGCCACTTTTCTGCCTGTAAGCTGCTGGTAACTTCAATTTCCTGAGGGAGTCTTCCCAAGGGATCAATAAAGTACGAGTCTAAGTCTATTTTGGCAAAATCCTGAGTTTAAAACACATAATTTATATTCTGTTTTTCTTTTAATCATTTTTCAATTGACTTCTGTTATGTTAATATTTTCTGTTAATATTACTCAGAATGAAAACATAACTGGTTATGGAATTAAAACATCTGTGTTTGAATTATCTTCTTTTATTTTGTTTTGATATATTTTAAAAAATTAATGATGGGATTTTGCTTCTGCTCTGACTGTTTACAGACGGTGGTTCCCAGAAGAATTCAAGATGGCACCTCATAAGAGCGCAACCCACAGGTTAATAAAAACAACCTGTGGGATAATTACAGCTTTATCATTCATTAAATCAATGTGATGTAAAATACCATAGAGTTGTAGTTCAGTAGGTATTACAATGTGCTCAGACTAAATAGATTAAAGTCTTTTGAGTGGTGTTTTAGGTACAATTACTATGGCTACTCTCACTAGCGAGACTAGTTAAAACCTAGAATAAATTTTTTGTCTCTCCCATGGCGTTAACATAATGCTCAGGAAGAGTGCAGCAGACACCACAGTCAGACAGTGGGGAAGTTGGGAGTTGTCCCCTCAGACCATCTGTTTCCAAAATCACGTGCACACATACGCACGCACACGCACCCACACACACACACACACACACACAAACAAAAACCCTTGTAAAAAAGTGTACACAGGATCAGTTTGATCCTGCCAGACTGCGCACAGGACTCGTGGGGTTTAAATGTCCATGTCTCTTAAGGTTGCCAAGAGAATTAATGACATATTTAATGTATTTTTTACCTTTTTCTCTTCAACTGTACGTGTAGTATTAATTGTATTCAATTACATGTCAAATCTAAAGGAAAATGAAGAAACTCTCACTACTAAAAATCTTAGTGATGGGAAAAAGCAACCCACATGTATAGAAGAAGAATGCTAACATCCCATGGCAGCACTCTGTTTGTGGCACTAATTATGGATTCTGCTGTTTATGGATCAATTTTAATATTCAGTAAGAAGGGCCGACAGTATTGTCACAAGATCATAACAGGAAGGAAGCTGATGAAATGAATGCCCAGTAATAGTGACGTCAGTGGCTACTGACTGCATGATAAGGGGTGAAACAAGAGGGGGTGGAGGGATGGGATGTAATGTGCTACACTGAATGAAGAATAAGCACAAAGTTAGGTAACCACATAATTGTTTTTCTCAGCTGTATAAGTAACATTTATACTTTACCAAACAATGGTCACTTTAAAACTCTTACGCTCTCACATTTTCTGTTTTTCCAGAGCCTTAGATGACATCAAGGAGAGCATTAAGGAGCTGCAGTACTACAGAGCCTGCATTTTCAAAGCACCATCAGAGGAAAAGAAACAAGAAAATGCTGGCAATAAAAGGAATTAGTTCATGAATGAGACTGTTGAAATACTTTCAGTTGGATTTTTTTTCTTGTTACATTTCCCTCAAGAAGGATTCCCTTCTTTTACAATTTATTTTTATTTTTTTGTCAGCAACACTTAGTACCACTGAAGTTTTGTTGGAGTGAATAAAACTAAAGTTTCTTGAGAAAAAAATTATTTTAACATAAATATAATTTAGGCAGAATCACTCAGTATTTTACTTTTTATTAATTTGAAGAGGCAATCAATCAAATTTTATTTGTATAGCACATTTCAGCTACAAGGCATTTCAAAGTGCTTTACATCATAAACACAAAACACAAAGGCATGCAACAGAATAAAATACCAAGTTTTTTTTTTTTTTTTTTCCCCTCTTTTTTCCCTTTCTTTCCCCTTCCCTTTTACTCGGAATTTAAGCCCCTGTTACCGCCGGACTCCGCCGTCTGTTTAACCACGGGTATTCGCCGGGCCCCGTTGCCCACAACAGGAAAAAAAAAAAAAAAAAAAAAATTACATACATATCCACAAAATCAAATCCATACATATTACATTTCAAATGCAACTCTAAACAGGTGCGTTTTTACTTGAGATTTGAAGGAAGTCAGGGTTTCCGCTGTTTTACAGTTTTCTGGAAGTTTGTTCCAAATTTTTGGTCCATAGATGCTGAAAGCTGTTTCTCCTCTTTTGGTTCTGGTTGGGGATGCAGAGCAGACCAGAACCAGAAGACCTGAGAGGTCTGGAAGGTTGATACAACAACAGCAGATCTTTGATGTATTGTGGTGCTAAACCATTCAGTGATTTATAAACTAACAACAGTATTTTAAAATCTATTCTTTGAGCTACAGGAAGCCAGTAGAGGGACTTTAAAACTGCTGTTATGTCTCTATTTTCCTGGTTCTAGTGAGAACGCGAGCAGCAGCATTCTGGATCAGCTGCAGCTGGAGGATTGATTTGTTGGACATGCCTGTGAAGATGCTGTTGCAATAATCAATGCGACTAAAGACAAACGCATGAATGAGTTTCTCTAGATCTGGCTGAGACATTAGTCCTCTAATCCTGGAGATGTTCTTCAGGTGATAGAAGGCCGATTTTGTTACTGTCTTTATGTGGCTCTGGAGGTTTAAGTCCGAGTCCATCACTACTCCCAGGTTTCGGGCTGATCGCTAGGTTTTAGTTGTAATAACTGAAGCTGTGCATTGACTCTAGATCGTTCCTCCTTAGGTCCAAAAGTAATGACTTCAGTTTTATTTTTGTTCAGTTGGAGAAAGTTTTGGCACATCCACACATTTATCTTTTCTAAGCATTTATTCAGTGATTGAATGGGTTCAGAGTCACCTGGTGACATTGTAATGTAGAGCTGTGTGTCATCCACATAGTTGTGGTAGCTAATATTATTTCCTGTTATGACCTGAGCTAGTGGGAGAATATAAATATTAAATAAGAGGGGTCCTAGGATTGAACCTTGGGGTACCCCACATGTGACCTTTGACCTCTTTGATGAGAAGTTTCCAATTAAAACAAAGAAATCCCTGTTCTTTATGTAGGATTCAAACCAGTCCAACCCAACTTTCAAGTCGATTCAGTAATATGTCATGGTCGACAGTGTCAAAAGCTGCACTGAAATCCAACAGAACCAGCACCGTGGTTCTCCCACAGTCCGTATTTATATGGATATCATTGAATACTTTTACGAGGGCAGTCTCCGTGCTGTGGTGAGCACAAAAACCAGACTGGAAAGTGTCAAAGCAGTTGGTCAACATGAGGAAACTGTTTAATTATTTAATAATCTGTATCATTATTTCTATAGAGAACATTCAAGCTTCAAAAGTAGTATATTACAAGCTAAGTGAAACTACCAATCAAGTCCAACATTCCTGTAATCATCCAGATTATTCAGTAAGTTGGTTGGTTGGAGAGATGATGGCAACACAAGCTTTAAATGAATGCATTTTTCTTACAAGTCTCTGGATTTGTACATGTAAATGGAGGGCTATTCCTTTAGTTCCTGTTACTATATTGAGAATAAGCCAAAATGATAAATCTAAGTACTATGTGGTTATGATGGGTGTGGTTCCTCAGCCGGTGGTCACACAGACAAAAGGTTGATTTGTTGTCAGCTGTCGAAAAGCAGACTGGTAGGCAAAATCTTTCTGATATATTGAAACAGCTTTTTGCCTGATATTTTTGTGCAGTTTGTTTGTTGATTGGGATTTTCATCTAATGCAAACTTCCCCAGGTTATTAAGAGATCTCACATGTGAGAACTTGGTAGGCCACACCCTGTTTAACATTTGGTAACACTGATTAAAAAAACAGGCTGTAGATACGTCCTCAGCCCATATCAACAGGCTGAGGCGTCCTTCTGATATCGGGGCCTCAGCACGGGAGGAACCACACATGCTTTCAGAAACAAGATGTCTCTCTGCTGCACCATGTTACTGAATAACAACTTGAATCCATTTATTGTTGTCCTGCATGAGCAAAACTAACTCCTTTAACAAAAGAGAGGTGGATCATTCATCAGCAGGCAATAAATCCATTTGTCAATAACACGAGATATCATCAAGCTGGAATAGATGTTCACAACAAATATTGACACACTGACATGTTATGCTGGTAGATCTACTATTCTATTTCAATAAATTGAGATGGAAAAACAATTACTTATATTTGCAAATTACAAAAATTGGGATATTGAAAAGCCCATTTATTTCAGAAATATCACTAAGTGAAACTTTACTTAGATTATAGACAGAAATTGTTTGAAACCCTTTATTTTTGTTAATTATGATGATTTTTGACTTGTAGGTAATGAAAACAATTTAAAAGTAGAGTTTTACATCAGACCAATAAAAAGCTATTTAAAACAAAAAATGTGGAATTAGTAAAAAATATGTTTAAAGGTTATTTTTGAAAGACATCTTTTATCTGACAAAACTTATTGGCACATATATTGTAATTTATTGAATATCATAAATTTCTTAAATGTGAAATTTTTCTAACTTCTTGAGCTATTCTGGTGTATTAACTAGAAACATATGTTATCTGTGTTGACATTTTCAGCAGAAGTATACCTGATAGAGTTCTGGAGAATTGGGGATTTCCTGGGGGTCTCTGATAGTAGTCTGTTTTTGGTCAGCATAAAGTTCATACCCCTTTAGTACTAGTAAACACCCAATCAACATTCAGTATACCAATGAGCCGACAAGTGCGAGCCCATTGGTTTTAGCGGTCAAATTGTCTAATCTTAATTGTATTCTTCAAAAGAAAAAGGATCGATGCGTTTTGCTAACTATGACCACGAGAAAACAAGGTCTATGATTATCACATGTCACAGGTCAGTAAGGTTTTAATATAAACAAAAATTGGGAGGGAAACAAAGTAGCCTGTTAGTTAATCTAACTTGACTTTGAGAACCTTAACATGTAGATATTTATCTATGTTAAGTTTTGTGTGTTTCGGTTCAGTTATAAAAAGGTGACCCACATACTCAACAATGTCAGATCATCATTAGAGCAGATGCTACAGCAGTGTTCGGGCTATCACTTAGTAATCACAAAATAACCATCATGCCTGAAAGCAAAAAACTGTAAATGATTGAAGGTTTTGTTTTCTGTCTTTGAGTGGGAAACATTTGCATGTTGTTGGTGTTGAATCCTGATATTAGAATGTAATCTCTGCTATCAGGCACACACTCATAAGTGGTTTTCAGTTCTTAATCAGTTCTTTTACTTTACTTTTCCTTTGCTGTGGCACATTGCAGCCTGTGGTGTCTGAAAGTTCAATAAATGACTGTGTTGGACACAGTTTACCCCAATTTCCATACACAGAGTTGTCATGTTGTCAGAATTGACGTATGCAATAGAGTTGACAGGACCACAACAATTTATTACTGAAAAGTATTTAAATTATTATGATACAGTACATTACTTCTCAGTAAACAGGAAATAAATTTCCTAAGACCTAAGCTATTTTGGGCCTTATGTTTATGTTACAATGAGAATTACATCATATTAAGCTGACAACCTTCCAGTTAAAATTCAAGGCCTAATTAGCCATTGCTCATACTACCTTTTGCAAGCAACATTTTATGCAGCTTTTTCTATTAGGATACACCACTTTTCAATCAATTAGTCAGTCAAATTTTATTTGACTAGCACATTTCAAAGTGCTATACATCATAAACACAAAAACACAAAGTCATGCAACATAGAATCAACAGTCAAAACATGACACATTTGTAATTGATTGCATTTCAAATACAATTCTTAACAGGTGCGTTTTTAGTTGAGATTTAAAGGAAGTCAGTGTTTCAGCTATTTTACAGTTTTCTGGAAGTTTGTTCCAAGTTTGTGGTATATAGATGCTGAAAGCTGCTTCTCCTCGTTTGTTTCTGGGGGTGCAGAGCAGAACCAGAATCGGAAGACCTGAGAGGTCTGGAAGGCTCATACAACAACAGTAGCTCTTTAATTTATTGTGGTGCTAAACCGTTCAGTGATTTATAAACTAACAACAGTATTTTAAAGTCTATTCTTTGAGCTACAGGGAGCCAGTAGAGGGACTTTAAAACTGCTGTTATGTCTCTATCTTCCTGGTTTTAGTGAGAACAGGAGCAGCAGCTTCTGGATCAGCTGCAGCTGGAGAATTGATTTGTTGGACAGGCCTGTGAAGACGCTGTTGCAATAATCAATGCGACTAAATATAAACGCATGGATGAGTTTCTCTAGATCTGGCTGAGACATTAGTCCTCTAATCCTGGAGACGTTCTTCAGGTGATAGAAGGCCGACTTTGTAACTGTCTTTATGTGGCTTTTAATATGTTACATTTACAATTGCAGATGCTAAGTGACATTGATATTAGATGTTCCCTTACATAAGAAAAACATGTAGGAACATGTTTTTATTCAAGCTTATTGTCAATTTGAGGCACTGCCATATTGGGTCTCAGTTGTTGGTGAAAAATTCTCAAAGTCAATCCATCCATGGACCTTACCAAGCTCGGCTCACAACCGACCTAGAAAATCCCACATGGCCGCAAGTCTCACAAACAAAGCCTCATGGCACTTTGTTTCTATGTAAACATGGGGTCTTCCACTTGGACTGAGAGTATTTCTGAGTCCATTATTGCATAATTTCTGCCAGATTTTCACCAAATATCAGCTACAACAATGGACAGAGGAACTAACAAGTTCATGTCATCTTTTTTGGATGACATCAAGGTGTTTGAGCCGTGACGCCTCCAACATTATGCACATCACAGCAAAATGCTTTCGGTAGATGAGGAAAACGGCAGTGATAAGTCTGTCTTGTTCATCCTATGAAGGTTGAGCTGCTCATGCAGTTTTTCACAAGCTTTGATCCAAGCAAGTCATTCTGCTTCTGATTTGGAAATCTGTGAATTTTAGAACCACAAATACGATCAGGATACCTGACATCACCAGTACAGATACCCCACTGGAAATGGAGAACCATTCTTTTTCGATTGTTGATGCAAAAACTTTCTGCCAGTCTGCTGGTGATACATTAGCATGTGTTTACTAATGCATGTACATTAGCTTGTGTTTGTGAGACGGCCACACACGTGGCAGGCGCACTATTATGTAAAATGGGCGTCAGCCAATGAAACATGGCCCCTGGGGTAAGCTTCCATTATCATCCGTTTATCAAGTGTTGGGTTGCGGTGGTAGCAGCTTCAGAAGGGAGGCCCAGACTTCCCTCTCCCCAGACACTTGTTTCAGCTCCTCCAGGGGAATCCCAAGACATTCCCAGTGTGTCCTGGGTCTTCCCCAGGGCCTCCTTCTGGTGAGTCGTGCCCGAAACACCTCACCAGGGAGGTGTCCAGGAGGCATCCTGGGCGCAGCGGTTATACTCAGTCCCTCCCGGATGACCAAGCTTCTCACCCTATTTCTAATGGAGAACCAGAAACCCTTTGGAGAAAACCCCTTTCAGCTGCTTGTATCCATGCCCTTGTAGCCGTGACCATAGGTAAGGGTAGGAACGTAGATCGACCGGTAAGTTGAGAGCTTCACTTTTTGCCTCCACTCTCTCTTCACCATGACGGACCGGTACAGTGCCCGCTTCATTGTAGATGCCGCACCAATCTGCCTGTCAGTCTCCCACTGCCTTCTTCCCTCATTCATGAACAAGATCCCAAAATACTTAAACTCCTCCACTTGGGGAAGGTTGTCCAACCCAGAAATAGCACTCTATTTTTTTTCCGGCCCAAGACAATGGTCTCGGATTTGGAGGCACTGATCCTCATCCGGGTGGCTTCACACTCGGCTGCAAATCGCTCCAGTGTTTCTCTGGAGCTTCAGATCATGACCTGATGAAGCCAGCAGGACCACATCAGCTGCAAAAAGCAGAGATGCGTATCCTAAAGCCACCAAAACACCTCAACACATTGTCTATGCCTAGAAATTCTGTGCATGAAAGTAATGAACAGAATAGATGAGAAAGGACAGTCAATTCTCACTGGAAAAGAGCCCGACTTACTGCCGGCAAAGTTGGTGTTTTAAAAATGTTCAGTTTCTGAGTGGGCGGATTTGACTTTGAGAGTGTGTTGTAGGCCTATTTCAGTAAAGATATCGGATGTTTTAAACATAATTTAGTCAGTAAATCTTTTAGAATTAATATTCATTTATTCATTCTTTCAATTTTGTTTAAGTCATTGGTAACAGAATTGACCATTTCAAACATTTGTTTAAAACTCCAATAGAGTGGAAACCAAAGCTTTTTTCAGTACAAATGCTGAAAAAATATGCAATCAATGAGATAATGGTTTAAAAGCCATTACATAAACTTGTCTCTGATAAAAAATCAAAGGTATTTTTCTCATGATACTTTGTTAACAAGATTTATGTTGAAAAAATACACCTGCTGATTGTGATTTTTAGATTTGAATGTTTTCACAGAGAATGGCACATACATATATGTGTTTGAGATCTTATCAGTAAAAGGAAGTGGCAATTATATGCAGTTTATATAGCTGTAGGAGGCGATTCATGGATTTACAGGGACAAAATGATATACCAACAGTTGACAAAAGAAGAACATCCTCATCCAAGTATTTTTTCAAAAATAAGGGTATTTTGAGTTAGTTTATTGTGATACTGTTACAAAATTGACCATTTAGGCAGGTTAGAAAAAGACAGAAAAGACAAATTTCCAAAAGAAAATTGAAAGATTTTTGTATCATTTTTCATGTTAATAAAAAACACAGTACCCAACTCGGACAAGAAGTCGTGTTTTGTTTTTTTCAACTATATAAAATTTGGTTTTTTTTATCTATTTAAATGTTTCCACTTGTTAAATATTATGAGCCCTAAAAATGAGTAAGAAATACTAAAATGAGTTCATCCCCAACCTCAGACATATACATCCATTAAAAACCAAGGCTTTAATTAAATGATCTAAAAACTAAAGCTTCTACCAGCAGCAAGACTAGTAGCAGCATTGTCAAACAGAAAATAACCCAAAGCAAAACAATAGGACAAACTTCAGAAACAAAGCAGCTGGGTCTCTGCCAAGTTGCACCAACCTTCTATCTGAAAAGAAATTACAATTTAATAGTAGTTTAGGCAAATGGCAGCATGCAGAGGAAGAAGCCATTTTCACCTACCGGAGTGCTGGATGACTCCACCCCAACCAGAGAGCTTCTGGCCCAACAGCGGCAGGAGAATCAGTGTTTTCTATACATGAACAGTTGTCATGATTTCATTTTTTTTGTACCACTGTATTGAACTATATGGATGGACTAAACAGTACACACCCCTTTTACGTTGCTATGATCGACTGAGAAGGTGAAATTATCATTACACCCTGGGAAAAACAGGAGACTCCAGGCAGTTTCTAAATCTACAAACATTTTGAATTAAACAACTGCCATCTCAGATCATTTTCCTCCGTTGGCCTTCTGCCCATGCCTCTCCTGCTTGCTCTGTTTTTGTGCTGTCTTTTTCTCTATTTTTGGAGCCTTCCTTTGTACATCTTCCAAATCTAAAAATTATGGATCTGGTCTACCAGTCTCTCAATGCAATTGATCAAATTTTCTCAACAAGAAGACTGGGCACAGTGGAGCCCTCTTGTCCTGCAGGGACACACCCTGCGGGATACACCCTGTATTTATTCTTCACAACAGGATTTCTGCTTTTTGGAGCTTGAGGATACCTGGCTTATCGACAAATTTGTAATGAACTGGGCTGAACTAGTGGATGTGAGTCTTGCTGAGACTCACATCCCAGCTGAGGACTCTAAAATTCACTAACAGAATCGACTCAATCTGGGAGAAGTTGCTAGATTCTCCCAGATCGAGCAAGTGGAACAACCACTTTCAGCTCTGTTCACTCAGCTGAAAGTGGAACAGCCACACTAATTTGGATAATTGGGAACTGAGATGTACTGGAGAGACTTTAGGAAGATTGAAATTTATAATCTACCTGACCTAGGACATTTTGTATCTGAAGTGGCTTTCCCATGTTGCCTTGAAGGGCTGCATTTTCCAATCTCCTTGAAGATCTCAAAACATAACGCTTCTTCTCACCTCACCTCACCTGTTGTCCATGCAACTGTGGAGCCGAGCACTTCCAAGGACATGCTTGATAACAACATCTTATTGGACTTCTGCTGGGAGGCTGAGGAATCTGGTTTCATGGCCCCATGATGTCACTGCCTTCACTCACGTCTTTGTTTTCTCCAAATGTTACCATGTGCCTTTTCCTCTTTTTATTTAATTCCCCTTTTAATATTTAGAGTCTGTGGTGTACTCACTTTTAACCCAAAAAAAGGAACTTAGTCATTCTAGCTTTTTTTTATTTATTTTTTTTAGAAAAAAAAATAATTTAGACCAATATTATTATTCTTAGATTAATTTTTAGATTATTATGTAGAGACTCCTATTACTGCAAACCAGAAAAATAATTAGAACAAACTCAACCCCCCCAAAAAATCTTCCAGAACAGAAACACTTAGTACTCATTACTTTTACAAATTAAGAGCATACCTAAGAAGTCCAGAGGATACATATTTATAATTATCTAGCAACCCAGATGTCCAGAGGATTCTTACTTACATTTGTTTAGCAACCCAGAACATATATATATGTGTGTGTGTGTGTGCGTGTGTGTGTGTGTGTGTGTGGGGGGGGGGGGTGTGGGTGGGTGCGTGGGCGTGCGCATGTGCGTGTATGTCTACATATACACACATACGCACACCTACACACACATGCCAGACATGTCCCCCCCTTATCAGCAGAATCCAGACTTGGTGAGCATACCAAATGTCTCAGTACTTAGTACACACCTCCAAATGTTTTAGAGCAGATATATGTGCAGCCTAACATGCATACCAGTACTCTATTGACAGATTAAATGTAGCATCCTTTTGGAAGGTTTATAAAATGGAAAAAGAATTCAGGTACAAAAAATAATACTTCACCTTTATACCTTTGGATAATTTTCTGATTTATTTTTTCATCATTTTTACTCAGGTCTGTATTGTGATGGCATTACCTTTGAATTTGTAACTTTGGAGCATGGCTATATTTGAAGAAAATGGTGAGTTTTCACAATCTGATTGATCTGGAGCAACATGGAGAGGGAACATAATGCGAAGTCAACATGTAACATTATGGCAAACTGCTTTTAAACAAAAACTGCCGTTTTAAAAGCTGGTTAAGTGAGCATAGTTATGAAGCCAGCTTTTTGCACTTTTTATACAGCAATTGTACATTTCTCCATATACATACTTGTTTTTTTGTTGAAATGGAAGACAGAATTGTTTTATTATGTATATGTTGAGGTACATTTCCAATACACATAAAATAGTTTACACATCTCTAAATATCTGTCTCCAACTACCAGTCATATATAATGCCTAAAACAATTAACAGTTAATGTGAAAGTGACTTGCTGGGATCAGGCTATGGTCCTCTTCATGACATTAAACTTTCCCAGTCATAATAAATGTTGCACTGTAGGAGAGTGCACCAGGTATTTGGAGTATTTGAGCATAGCATATTGTTTTGAATTTTTGCTTTCTGATCTTGGGAGAGAAGGAATGGGCTGAAAATGTAGCCAATGCGATAAGATGCATGCTATTGAGTGCGAGCCTGAATTCCTCCCAGATTAAAACTGAAGAGCAAACAAGCAAATTTCTCACAGAAAGTCCTCTCTTACCTTTTACAGTAGGGATTTCCAAATGTTTTGTCATGGAAGCCCAAAATGTCAAGTTGAAAGTACTTAGGGATTCACAATATTTTGTATTCTTTTTTTTTTCCATCTTTTTTTTTTTTTTTTAGCAAGACTGACTTTTCATTTGTACCTGCTCAAAAATAAACATACAATGTTGTCCTGAAACAATCAAGGAAGTTCAATATCTGTAGAAAAAGCATCTGTAAATCAATGTTGATTTGAAACTGAAAAAGGGTCTTAGTTTATTCGGTTTTAAAAAAAAAAGGCACACAATATCCTAATTTTTTTGAATTAGTCATTTTTTTGTGGATTTTTCTGTTATGTCTTTTCTGCAGCAAGAAAAGACACTCTGGCTTACTCTTGCTTCATTTTTCCAAGAGTAACAAATGGATGCATCTAATAAGTATAAATGTTTGTGGTGCTATTTACCTTTGGGTTTAAAGTAAAAACATGGCTGATAAAAGATAAACAATTTGCTTTGCACGGTATATTTTCCATTTTCAGGAGATTTTAATTTGTACTTTCCTACTTTAAAAGGCCTTGCATCAGTAAAAACTGCACACTAACATTTTTGGACACTGGTGCTTTAGTGATTTCAGTACTAGGTTATACACTTTTGAAAATTTTTATGTGAAAACAAAATCATCCCACTTTTACAACCTGCAACCATTTGTGCCTCTGATGTGCTGAAATAAAAGATAAAAAATTGGCATGACTTCCTTAGGTTGTCCTTGTGAAATATTTTTGGTACGATTTGGTCAAACATACCAAGTCAATGACCCAGATGTCATTAGATATTCCTCAGCTGTGGAGCATGATTTTGCAAATGGTTATTAATACAATCAAGTTATAGAAACACCCAGCATGGTAACACTTTATTTGTCAAGGTGTGAATAAGACTGTCATAAACATGACATAACACTTGTCATGAATATGAGTAAGCCTTCATGAATATTTATGACTGTTGTCATGACGTGCCATTTGGTAAATCATGACAATTTTAATATAAAGTTGACAATATTCAAAATGTCTTTGCTATGACAACTTGTCATTAATCTAGACAAAATGTCTTCATTATGATAACTTGACATTAACCAAGAATCACCGCATGTTATAACAGTAGTTATAATAATGTCCGTGTTCTTACACTATCAAAATCTTTAACAAAACAGTAATTAATATTTTCTCCTGCATTAAATAAAGCAAAACAAGTAGTATTTAAGATTGCATTAAGATTTATTACAATGTGAAGATTTATTGCAATGTCAAATAATTGAATGAGTCAATAATTCCTTTTATATTAATTGGAACAAGTAGCACCACTTGTGAAGATGTCATTAAGTATCATTAGAGTGTCATTAATTTTAACTCTTACCTCGCGTAAAGTCAAACAAGTAGCAACAGTTTTGAAGATGTCATTAAGTGGCATTACAGAGTCATTACTATTAACTCTTGCCTGAAATAAAGTGAAACTAGTAGCAACAATTATAACAATGTCATTCAGTGTTATTACAGTGTCAAATGCTATGCTAACAGAATCATTAATGTTAAGTCTTGACATTAATGAAGTGAAGTGGAACATACTTGAACGACTTATAACTACCATCATAGCTGTAGATGGTACAGCTATAATAATAAAAGTTTATTATTTATTAAATAATAAAAGATTATTGTTCTTTGTTCTTTCTTCAAACAGAGAGTTTAACTTGTCGCACTGTCAGAATGTTGACAAATGGTAGACAAATATTGAGTTAACATGACTGGTTGTTGAGAAGGGCAATACAATTATTTAATTAAGTAGCATAATGACATGAGCTGAACAAAATTATTCTGATCAAATATTTGTTTGGCAAAAGTTCATACAGACTGCCACTGCTGTTATTCAGATTGCATCATTAATGTATAGTTTTAGGCACGAGTGTATATTTTCACTTAATAAGCGTTCAAAATTATTTCCAATCAGATACTCTGGCTTATGTATGTTTGCAAGGAGTTTATTAATAAATAAATAGATGAAACAACAAATTTGACATTTGACAACAATTAGTTGTCTAAAACATAACTTATTTACTCAGCTGGTGGATGTTGATTCCTGCTTACCTTTCCCTACTTACCTGTCCCCTCAGACCTCCCTTCACCTGGAGAAAACAGTAACATAAAAATGACTTACCTAAATTTCTTGGGGAATATTTCATTTGCTTCTTTCTCTATGGTCAAATAGGGACTTCTCCCTCTGGTGCCTGATCCTCATTATCATCCTCCACAATGTAGCATGTCTTTGTAAGCAACATTTGTCCTCCCCCTGCCAACAACCCACCATGTGTCCTCAGGATAAAATTGTTCTTTATGTGGCTAAAGCAAAGAACACAAGCACCATGTCACATCAGCAAAGTTGCTAAATAATGCACAGAAAGGATAACTGACTAACATATTAGCTTTTAATTTGCGAGATTAAAATTGGAGTGAAAGATTTATTTGCCTTTAAAATATGTTTAAGATTAAGAGACAACCTTACAGTTATGGGGTTTAAAAATGTACATGTACTTTTTTATGTAAAAAAAAAAGTATTTATGTAAAAGTATTTTAGTACATAAATATTTATTTATGTAAATACTTACATAAATATTTATGACTATTGTCACAAATATTCAGGACAAATGTTATGTCATGTTTATGACAGTGTCATTCATGTCAGTCTTATTCACACCCCATCAAATAAAGTTTTACCTTATGGATAAAGAAGAGCCTAATGTAATCAGAATGTTCCCAGCTGACATAACTGTAATTATTATGTTTATGTGCACCACAAGTTACAATCTGTAAATTTGAGGGGAAATTATACTGCAGCAGTATACTTTTTCATCAGTGTTTTAGTTTTTCCTAATATCTTTTGGTTTCACACTTTTTCTGAACAGATGAACACCAAAACAATATGAAGAAAGTGGAAAACTGACTGCAGATACATAAAAAACAGATATGGAACGCAAAAGGAACAAAATGGAAGAGCAAACGCAACTCATGAGCCAAGTAGCTGAAGATGTTAAGGATCTTAGGGAAAATATGAGAAGAGAGAAAGGCAGAATCAAATATTTGAAGAAAAAAGTGAGGCCTAACATGCAGAGAGTAATTTTTGAACCAGATGAAATCAGCGAAATGTTGCATATGATTAGAGAAGACACAAAACTTTGCAAGAAACACTTTTTTGAAGAAAAGACGCAAATTAAATGGATGAGTTTTCAGGCTGAGAAAAGGAGAAAAAAGCTTGACCAGAAGTTGGAGAAAATAATTCAAGAAGGTGATCAGTTAGACATTCTGAAGAAAAAAATGGACCAGCAAAGACAAGAGACTGAAAAAAAATGGAAAGAAATACTGACTTTACTTTTGATTTCAGAAAAAATAAAAATTAGTTTAGAAAAATCTACTGAAGAAATTAGAAGCACAAACCAGGAAATGCTCAAAAGCCAACAGAACATCAGAAAGAGCAATGAAGTAAAAACATACATGGTAAGTCTTTTTTTTTTATTTTGCTTTATCAACTAAAAGTAGAAAGCCAAACATTTTGAAGGTTATTTTAAAAAATACAGACGTGGAAATGCATTAAAAGAAAAAATCTTTTTTAGTATCTGTGTTTTTCAAGTTTGATTTTGGAGAACAAGGTTACAGCTTCTTCCGGCTTTAAATACAGTTTTTGTCTTTTGTGCAATATTTTGATAACATGAGATCTTTGCTTTTTCCCCAATTTACATTTATTTAAGAACATTCTTTTTTCACAGTACAACAGGGAAAATATTTATATGACCAATTACACATATTCTAGTCTCTGCCACTGAGTTACTGGCTGTTTTAGCTTTGTTATGTGGGCAGGCTCTAGGTTTGGAATTCAGACTGCAAACAGACAAGATGTACTAATGAAACAGACCTTACAGATAGAACACACAGCATACTACCTTCAACTAGGACAACATTTGGAAATTAAAGTTTAGAAATCAAACCAGCAAACGCCTAGTTGTGAGAAAATGTTTTCTCTGGCCAAGAAAGTGCAAAAAAAAAATGTCTGCATAGTAATGTTGGTAATTCTAAATCTTTATAAAAACAACTTGAAGTGGATAAGCTACATTTGTCCTCTTTCTCTTTCTCATCTGTTCTTCAGCTGAAACTGGAGAGCAACTGAGGGTTATAGATAATGATTAGTTCTAACTTGGACAATTTTCCACTTCTAACTTCTAAATCCCCACATTTTGAGGCCAGTTCTGACAGACAGTATGCCTCTTTTTACTTGGAAGATCTTGCAGTTTAAAGCATGCTAATACATCTCTGTGTTGCTATGTTTAGGACAGGCTGACATGCATAAAGAACCAGATCAACAAATGGAAATTGACACAGCCTCCATTTACTTTCGGACTTCTGAAAGAAAAACTTGAATGCACCCATAAAGAAGAAATTCTCACTGACAAAGCAAAAAAATCAGCTGCAGAAAAAAATCCTTTGGAGAACATTACAACATCAGAAGGTTATGTAATGGCAGGAAAGACAGAAATCCATGAGAAATTTTTTAAACATATTAGTCAGAGAAAATCATTTCCACAAGAAATACCAGCATTGGAAAATCAGATATATACGCTAAATGAGCAAGAGGAAGTATTGGTGCAAATAAAAACAAATACTACAAAATTACAAGAAAAAACTCAAAAGATGAAAAGTATTGTCACAGAATTAGATGAAATACAGTGTCAGAAGGAAGATGCTGAAGTTATAATCAGGAAAATGGGGACTGTAGAAAGTACATTGCTACAGGAAGTACAAAAGAGGGATTTTCTGATGGAGAGAACAAATGCTTTTAGGGAACAAATTATGCAGACTGACCTGGAAGATCAGTCAAAAACTACTAATGTTGAGCAAAAACCTGACAAAATGGAAAAGTGGAAAGAAGATCCCCAGGCACTTGCTAAAGAGATACAAGTGTGTTCTGATGGAAAGTATCTTCGACTCAGAGATTTACAAAGTCTCTGGGCTGAGATATATAAAACACAGCAAGTCATAAAATGTCTCAAACCAGAAATTGAGTGCCAAGATGGAACAGGTAATGAGACCAAAGACCTTGTTGATAATGACATCAAGGGACTACTGCAAGATCTCAGACAGTTTCAGAAGCTTTTGGAAACTGAAATGGGCCAGAAGAAACAGAATCTCAATGTAGATACATGCATTCAGAAAAGTACAATGAAGAAAAAGAGAAGAGAACTGGATCATAAAATGGAGAATATCCTACGAGAGAAGGATGAACTAGAAATTCTGAAGACACAAATACAAAGAAAATCTGAGGGGACTCAGCGGCAGTTGGAAAAGATTCTAAAATGTCAAAATGACATTGAAAAAATAGCTGGTAAAGCCAAGGAGAAAAGCAAAGTAATAATGTGTAATATGAAAAAGACTGATGCTAGTGTAAGAATGTTTGAAGACCTAAACAAGAAGATCGAGGCTTCAAAACAACACTGGAACAAAATCTACTTTTCAACCTCTCAGCATAAAGCTTTAACTGAAAAACTAAAGACTGAACTTGGAAATGAAAACGAAAGAGAATCTCTATTTGAAAGAGAAAACAGAAAGAAATATGAAAAATTGGTAAGGGACAAATCATTCACAAGTAAAAAAGCAAAACAAGCTGAAGAAACATTTGAAGAATTCTTAGTGCTCACACCACATCAAAAAAGACTGATTGAAGAAATAAAACTGGTTATAAATCAATGTAATGACAGAAAATGTAATAGAGAGGTGCAAAACCTTGAACTAAGTGAAAAAGTGGTACAAGAGATATTAAGAAAGGTAAGTGAGATGTTGGTACAAGAGACTGAGGGACAGAATGGAAAACTGTCACAAATGAAAATTGAACAGAATAAAAAGGCTTTGTTAAGTGAAACAAATAAAAGACAAAAACAGCATATGACTGAAGGGCAAGACAGCATTAAATGGACTAGAGAAATAGGAGAATTGGAGGTGCTGAATACTGAGCTGGAAATCAAAAGAAAAGGAAATAAGGCTATTTTAAAACAAATGGTGAGAGAGAGGGGAAAGAATGAAAGAGTGATGAATAAAATAAAAGAAGCAAAGATATTATTTAAGAGGGAAGAACAAAGAAGGAGAAGAGAACTAGACCAAAGACTGGAGAAAATCAGAAGAGAGAAGGATGAATTAGAGATGTTGAAATTAAAATTGAGACAACCAAAGGTAGCAATGTTCCGTGACAACCAAAATGTGCAAGACCAGAGGACAGTTGTCTGTGTATCGAGTGAATATGAACAAAAGGATTTGGAAAAGAATGGGTGTAAAATCACAAACACCCAATATGAAATGGTACCCATATCACCAAGACTTAGAAGTAGCATCGATAATATTCAAGACCTCGGAGTAAAGATCTATGGCTATTTAGAAACAGGGAAAAGTGAAATATGTCAATTTCTCAAGTATCAAAACATTGATTTAGATAAAAAGAGAGATGAACTCATAGCAATAACAGCTGAGAACAACATTGTAAAAGAAAACATAACCAGAATCAAATTCTTAATAAGAATGGTTAAAATTACGAAACAAGCTACAGGGAATGAGGATGAAACATGGAAACTAAGGAAGGATACGCATAAGAAGGAGTTTGGGATCAAATCGTTGACAACTAAACAAAAAGCACAAAAGCGAAAAGCGTTAATGACTGAAATGGTGACTGAGGAAACAAAACATCAGAAACAGAAAAAAAGAAAGCATGCTAAAGACCCCTGTGGAGATATGAATAAAATGAAAACAACAGAAAATCTCAAAAAACACGTGAAAGCACAAATGGAAACTTTTCAGGTACGGATGAAACAGATAAATTTGAAAAACATAAAAAAAGGCATAGAGTTATGTAAAATTCAAGCAACTCATAGATTTCTTTCAAACATGGATATGCAATTAGAAGAAAATAGCGTGAAAATGCTGAACCTGATAGATATTATAACAAATATAAAAGAAAGGATAATACGACATGAAAACCAACTCACTGCAAAAATGAAAGACAATATGGAAATAACAAAGACCGAAATAAACCAGAAATTAGAAGAAGCCAACGGCTCATTGGCAGAAAACTACAAAGAGAAAATCAAGCTCGATATCATCACACAAGGCAAAATTCTGCAACAAGAAAAACAAGATACTCAAGAAGAAAGACAGAGATTAAACATCACAAATGCTGAACTCAACCAGAAGGCAGAAGAAACCAGCAGTTGCTTGATTAGGAATGACATCCAGACACAAAGTGAAATATTACAACAACACAAACAAGACATTCAACAACATAAGCAAGAGTTGGAAAGCACAATGGTGGAACTGCACAAGAAAACAGAAGAAACCAAGAATCTCTTTGATGGAATCAACAAAGAGAAATCTAAACTCAAAGATGTCAACCTTAATCTGAAAACACAAGACGATAAACTGAAGGTTCTCATTGACGCAATCAGTTCAAAACTACAAGAACCAGAAGGAAAAGGCCCAGAAATTCACACAAAAACACCAAATTTAGAACTGTGTAGGAAAACATTACAGATGAAAAAACAAGAGCTGATGGTTTTGATGAAAAATGTGAATAGCTTGAAGGAAAGTCTCAAAGATTCCATGAGCAGTGTCCATAAAGGTATAGAACAAATGATTTCCATGAAGAAGAATATTGGAAACGACAGAGAGAAACTATCAAGTGAAAAGAATCGCCTCCAAAGAGAATTGTCAGAGTGCAAAATGAGACAAGATAAACTCTTGGATGTAATGAAGTCAAAAGCAAACCTAAGACTAACACTTCAAGGAGTAAAAGACAAAGTGTGTGACTTGACCAACATTAAAATGAGGAGATTACACAAATGTCATAAAGATGCACAGTTACTATGTATTTCAATGGAGAAAAATGTTTCAACTATTGGTGACCAGATGAAAACTTTAACTCCATACAAAGAGGTAGCTGAAAGAGAAAAGATCAATCTAACATCCATCACTATTTCCATGAGGAATGAGAGAAAATTGATGGGTCGTCAATGGAAAGAAATGGTTGACCGGGATAAAAAAGACCTAAACAAAATGACGGAAGAACTGAAACGGAAAACACAGAATCTGGTAAGAGTGACTGACAGAGTAGACAAAAAAGAGGCTTTAGAAGTGATGATGACCAATATCCAGAAACAGCGTGCAGTACTGCAACAAGAAAAACAAGATATTCAAGAAGAAAGAGAGAATAAACATTACAAATGCTGAACTCGACCAGAAGGCAGAAGAAACCAGCAGTTGCTTGGCAGAGATCAACAAAGAGAAAATGAAACTTAAACATTTGTCGGTTTCAGTCCAAAGAAATCATGAAAGACTTCAAGACATCATGAACACGATTGCCCTACAACAGCAAGGCAGAGAAAGCAAAGATCATCTGTTCCAAACACAAACACAGGAACTACAATCGAAAAGGCTTCAACTACAGAAAGATAAGAAGAGATGAAACTTTTGACGACAGCTGTGAATAAGATGAGAGAGTGGATTAAAGCTGCAATGATCACCGCCCAAAAGGAAAAGCAACTAGTGGATTATATGAGGATGCGCAAGGCAGAAGAAGAAATGCTCTCATCCAGAATATAGAACTTGACAGAGAGAGGCCCGGGTTGACACCAAGAGAGGACAGCGGCTTGGACAAAAGTCAAATAACAGAACCTCAACAAGGACAGATCCAACACATAAAAGAGAAACTAAGTGAAAACATCAATTGAAAATGGTCCAGCTACAACAAGGGATTGCAGGTGTAGAAAACCTCTCTGTTGGTTTGGGACAGAAACTTCTTTGTCTTATTGAACAGAAGGAAAATGTGGCTGGTTATAAAGAGGTATTTGAAAGAGAAAAGGGAATTCTGAGGAGAGTCCTTTGTGACACATTAAAACAAAGAGAAGATGTGGAAAACCGTTGGAATGAAACAATGAAGTGGGAAAAAGAAAAAGTTTCTTCTCTTGAAGCAACCCTGAAAAAAGAAAAGCAAGAAGTCGAATTAGAGAAACAAAAGATGTTGAATGATGAAATGGTGTTAGAGCTGATTAGGAATGACATCCAGACACAAAGTGAAATATTACAACAACACAAACAAGACATTCAACAACATAAGCAAGAGTTGGAAAGCACAATGGTGGAACTGCACAAGAAACAGAAGAAACCAAGAATCTCTTTGATGGAATCAACAAAGAGAAATCTAAACTCAAAGATGTCAACCTTAATCTGAAAACACAAGACGATAAACTGAAGGTTCTCATTGACGTAATCAGTTCAAAACCACAAGAACCAGAAGGAAAAGGCCCAGAAATTCACACAAAAACACCAAATTTAGAACTCTGTAGGAAAACATTACAGATGAAAAACAAGAGCTGATGGTTTTGATGAAAAATGTGAATAGCTTGAAGGAAAGTCTCAAAGATTCCATGAGCAGTGTCCATAAAGGTATAGAACAAATGATTTCCATGAAGAAGAATATTGGAAAAGACAGAGAGAAACTATCAAGTGAAAAGAATCGCCTCCAAAGAGAATTGTCAGAGTGCAAAATGAGACAAGATAAACTCTTGGATGTAATGAAGTCAAAAGCAAACCTAAGACTAACACTTCAAGGAGTAAAAGACAAAGTGTGTGACTTGACAAACATCAAAATGAGGAGATTACACAAATGTCATAAAGATGCACAGTTATTATGTATTTCAATGGAGAAAAATGTTTCAACTATTGGTGACCAGATGAAAACTTTAACTCCATACAAAGAGGTAGCTGAAAGAGAAAGATCAATCTAACATCCATCACTATTTCCATGAGGAATGAGAGAAAATTGATGGAACGTCAATGGAAAGAAATGGTTGACCGGATAAAAAAGACCTAAACAAAATGACGGAAGAACTGAAACTGGAAACACAGAATCTGGAAAGAGTGACTGACAGAGTAGACAAAGGAAAAGAGGCTTTAGAAGTGATGATGACCAATATCCAGAAACAGCGCGCAGTACTGCAACAAGAAAAACAAGATATTCAAGAAGAAAGAGAGAGAATAAACATTACAAATGCTGAACTCGACCAGAAGGCAGAAGAAACCAGCAGTTGCTTGGCAGAGATCAACAAAGAGAAAATGAAACTTAAACATTTGTCGGTTTCAGTCCAAAGAAATCATGAAAGACTTCAAGACATCATGAACACGATTGCCCTACAACAGCAAGGCAGAGAAAGCAAAGATCATCTGTTCCAAACACAAACACAGGAACTACAATCTAAAAGGCTTCAACTACAGAAAGATAAGGAAGAGATGCAACTTTTGACGACAGCTGTGAATAAGATGAGAGAGGGATTAAAGCTGCAATGATCACCGCCCAAAAGGAAAAGCAACTAGTGGATTATATGAGGATGCGCAAGGCAGAAGAAGAAATGCTCTCAATCCAGAATATAGAACTTGACAGAGAGAGGCCCGGGTTGACACCAAGAGAGGACAGCGGCTTGGACAAAAGTCAAATAACAGAACCTCAACAAGGACAGATCCAACACATAAAAGAGAAACTAAGTGAAAACATCAAATTGAAAATGGTCCAGCTACAACAAGGGATTGCAGGTGTAGAAAACCTCTCTGTTGGTTTGGGACAGAAACTTCTTTGTCTTATTGAACAGAAGGAAAATGTGGCTGGTTATAAAGAGGTATTTGAAAGAGAAAAGGGAATTCTGAGGAGAGTCCTTTGTGACACATTAAAACAAAGAGAAGATGTGGAAAACCGTTGGAATGAAACAATGAAGTGGGAAAAAAAAAGTTACTTCTCTTGAAGCAACCCTGAAAAAAGAAAAGCAAGAAGTCGAATTAGAGAAACAAAAGATGTTGAATGATGAAATGGTGTTAGAGCTGATTAGGAATGACATCCAGACACAAAGTGAAATATTACAACAACACAAACAAGACATTCAACAACATAAGCAAGAGTTGGAAAGCACAATGGTGGAACTGCACAAGAAAACAGAAGAAACCAAGAATCTCTTTGATGGAATCAACAAAGAGAAATCTAAACTCAAAGATGTCAACCTTAATCTGAAAACACAAGACGATAAACTGAAGGTTCTCATTGATGCAATCAGTTCAAAACTACAAGAACCGGAAGGAAAAGGCCCAGAAATTCACACAAAAACACCAAATTTAGAACTCTGTAGGAAAACATTACAGATGAAAAAAAGAGCTGATGGTTTTGATGAAAAATGTGAATAGCTTGAAGGAAAGTCTCAAAGATTCCATGAGCAGTGTCCATAAAGGTATAGAACAAATGATTTCCATGAAGAAGAATATTGGAAAAGACAGAGAGAAACTATCAAGTGAAAAGAATCGCCTCCAAAGAGAATTGTCAGAGTGCAAAATGAGACAAGATAAACTCTTGGATGTAATGAAGTCAAAAGCAAACCTAAGACTAACACTTCAAGGAGTAAAAGACAAAGTGTGTGACTTGACAAACATCAAAATGAGGAGATTACACAAATGTCATAAAGATGCACAGTTATTATGTATTTCAATGGAGAAAAATGTTTCAACTATTGGTGACCAGATGAAAACTTTAACTCCATACAAAGAGGTAGCTGAAAGAGAAAAGATCAATCTAACATCCATCACTATTTCCATGAGGAATGAGAGAAAATTGATGGGTCGTCAATGGAAAGAAATGGTTGACCAGGATAAAAAAGACCTAAACAAAATGACGGAAGAACTGAAACGGAAACACAGAATCTGGTAAGAGTGACTGACAGAGTAGACAAAGAAAAAGAGGCTTTAGAAGTGATGATGACCAATATCCAGAAACAGCGCGCAGTACTGCAACAAGAAAAACAAGATATTCAAGAAGAAAGAGAGAGAATAAACATTACAAATGCTGAACTCGACCAGAAGGCAGAAGAAACCAGCAGTTGCTTGGCAGAGATCAACAAAGAGAAAATGAAACTTAAACATTTGTCGGTTTCAGTCCAAAGAAATCATGAAAGACTTCAAGACATCATGAACACGATTGCCCTACAACAGCAAGGCAGAGAAAGCAAAGATCATCTGTTCCAAACACAAACACAGGAACTACAATCTAAAAGGCTTCAACTACAGAAAGATAAGGAAGAGATGCAACTTTTGACGACAGCTGTGAATAAGATGAGAGTGGATTAAAGCTGCAATGATCACCGCCCAAAAGGAAAAGCAACTAGTGGATTATATGAGGATGCGCAAGGCAGAAGAAGAAATGCTCTCAATCCAGAATATAGAACTTGACAGAGAGAGGCCCGGGTTGACACCAAGAGAGGACAGCGGCTTGGACAAAAGTCAAATAACAGAACCTCAACAAGGACAGATCCAACACATAAAAGAGAAACTAAGTGAAAACATCAAATTGAAAATGGTCCAGCTACAACAAGGGATTGCAGGTGTAGAAAACCTCTCTGTTGGTTTGGGACAGAAACTTCTTTGTCTTATTGAACAGAAGGAAAATGTGGCTGGTTATAAAGAGGTATTTGAAAGAGAAAAGGGAATTCTGAGGAGAGTCCTTTGTGACACACTAAAACAAAGAGAAGATGTGGAAAACAGTTGGAATGAAACAATGAAGTGGGAAAAAGAAAAAGTTACTTCTCTTGAAGCAACCCTGAAAAAAGAAAAGCAAGAAGTCGAATTAGAGAAACAAAAGATGTTGAATGATGAAATGGTGTTAGAGCTGATTAGGAATGACATCCAGACACAAAGTGAAATATTACAACAACACAAACAAGACATTCAACAACATAAGCAAGAGTTGGAAAGCACAATGGTGGAACTGCACAAGAAAACAGAAGAAACCAAGAATCTCTTTGATGGAATCAACAAAGAGAAATCTAAACTCAAAGATGTCAACCTTAATCTGAAAACACAAGATGATAAACTGAAGGTTCTCATTGACGCAATCAGTTCAAAACCACAAGAACCAGAAGGAAAAGGCCCAGAAATTCACACAAAAACACCAAATTTAGAACTGTGTAGGAAAACATTACAGATGAAAAAACAAGAGCTGATGGTTTTGATGAAAAATGTGAATAGCTTGAAAGAAAGTCTCAAAGATTCCATGAGCAGTGTCCATAAAGGTATAGAACAAATGATTTCCATGAAGAAAAATATTGGAAAAGACAGAGAGAAACTATCAAGTGAAAAGAATCGCCTCCAAAGAGAATTGTCAGAGTGCAAAATGAGACAAGATAAACTCTTGGATGTAATGAAGTCAAAAGCAAACCTAAGACTAACACTTCAAGGAGTAAAAGACAAAGTGTGTGACTTGACCAACATTAAAATGAGGAGATTACACAAATGTCACAAAGATGCACAGTTATTATGTATTTCAATGGAGAAAATGTTTCAACTATTGGTGACCAGATGAAAACTTTAACTCCATACAAAGAGGTAGCTGAAAGAGAAAAGATCAATCTAACATCCATCACTATTTCCATGAGGAATGGAGAAAATTGATGGAACGTCAATGGAAAGAAATGGTTGACCGGGATAAAAAGACCTAAACAAAATGATGGAAGAACTGAAACGGGAAACACAGAATCTGGAAAGAGTGACTGACAGAGTAGACAAAGAAAAAGAGGCTTTAGAAGTGATGATGACCAATATCCAGAAACAGCGCGCAGTACTGCAACAAGAAAAACAAGATATTCAAGAAGAAAGAGAGAGAATAAACATTACAAATGCTGAACTCGACCAGAAGGCAGAAGAAACCAGCAGTTGCTTGGCAGAGATCAACAAAGAGAAAATGAAACTTAAACATTTGTCGGTTTCAGTCCAAAGAAATCATGAAAGACTTCAAGACATCATGAACACGATTGCCCTACAACAGCAAGGCAGAGAAAGCAAAGATCATCTGTTCCAAACACAAACACAGGAACTACAATCTAAAAGGCTTCAACTACAGAAAGATAAGGAAGAGATGCAACTTTTGACGACAGCTGTGAATAAGATGAGAGAGTGGATTAAAGCTGCAATGATCACCGCCCAAAAGGAAAAGCAACTAGTGGATTATATGAGGATGCGCAAGGCAGAAGAAGAAATGCTCTCAATCCAGAATATAGAACTTGACAGAGAGAGGCCCGGGTTGACACCAAGAGAGGACAGCGGCTTGGACAAAAGTCAAATAACAGAACCTCAACAAGGACAGATCCAACACATAAAAGAGAAACTAAGTGAAAACATCAAATTGAAAATGGTCCAGCTACAACAAGGGATTGCAGGTGTAGAAAACCTCTCTGTTGGTTTGGGACAGAAACTTCTTTGTCTTATTGAACAGAAGGAAAATGTGGCTGGTTATAAAGAGGTATTTGAAAGAGAAAAGGGAATTCTGAGGAGAGTCCTTTGTGACACACTAAAACAAAGAGAAGATGTGGAAAACCGTTGGAAGTGGGAAAAAGAAAAAGTTACTTCTCTTGAAGCAACCCTGAAAAAGAAAAGCAAGAAGTCGAATTAGAGAAACAAAAGATGTTGAATGATGAAATGGTGTTAGAGCTGATTAGGAATGACATCCAGACACAAAGTGAAATATTACAACAACACAAACAAGACATTCAACAACATAAGCAAGAGTTGAAAGCACAATGGTGGAACTGCACAAGAAAACAGAAGAAACCAAGAATCTCTTTGATGGAATCAACAAAGAGAAATCTAAACTCAAAGATGTCCAACCTTAATCTGAAAACACAAGACGATAAACTGAAGGGTTCTCATTGACGCAATCAGTCAAAACCACAAGAACCAGAAGGAAAAGGCCCAGAAATTCACACAAAAACACCAAATTTAGAACTCTGTAGGAAAACATTACAGATGAAAAAACAAGAGCTGATGGTTTTGATGAAAAATGTGAATAGCTTGAAGGAAAGTCTCAAAGATTCCATGAGCAGTGTCCATAAAGGTATAGAACAAATGATTTCCATGAAGAAAAATATTGGAAAAGACAGAGAGAAACTATCAAGTGAAAAGAATCGCCTCCAAAGAGAATTGTCAGAGTGCAAAATGAGACAAGATAAACTCTTGGATGTAATGAAGTCAAAAGCAAACCTAAGACTAACACTTCAAGGAGTAAAAGACAAAGTGTGTGACTTGACCAACATTAAAATGAGGAGATTACACAAATGTCATAAAGATGCACAGTTACTATGTATTTCAATGGAGAAAAATGTTTCAACTATTGTGACCAGATGAAAAACTTAACTCCATACAAAAGAGGTAGCTGAAAGAGAAAAGATCAATCTAACATCCATCACTATTTCCATGAGGAATGAGAGAAAATTGATGGAACGTCAATGGAAAGAAATGGTTGACCGGGATAAAAAAGACCTAAACAAAATGACGGAAGAACTGAAACGGGAACACAGAATCTGGAAAGAGTGACTGACAGAGTAGACAAAGAAAAAAGAGCTTTAGAAGTGATGATGACCAATATCCAGAAACAGCGTTCAGTACTGCACAAGAAAAACAAGATATTCAAGAAGAAAGAGAGAGAATAAACATTACAAATGCTGAACTCGACCAGAAGGCAGAAGAACCAGCAGTTGCTTGGCAGAGATCAACAAAGAGAAAATGAAACTTAAACATTTGTCGGTTTCAGTCCAAAGAAATCATGAAAGACTTCAAGACATCATGAACACGATTGCCCTACAACAGCAAGGCAGAGAAAGCAAAGATCATCTGTTCCAAACACAAACACAGGAACTACAATCTAAAAGGCTTCAACTACAGAAAGATAAGGAAGAGATGCAACTTTTGACGACAGCTGTGAATAAGATGAGAGAGTGGATTAAAGCTGCAATGATCACCGCCCAAAAAGAAAAGCAACTAGTGGATTATATGAGGATGCGCAAGGCAGAAGAAGAAATGCTCTCAATCCAGAATATAGAACTTGACAGAGAGAGGCCCGGGTTGACACCAAGAGAGGACAGCGGCTTGGACAAAAGTCAAATAACAGAACCTCAACAAGGACAGATCCAACACATAAAAGAGAAACTAAGTGAAAACATCAAATTGAAAATGGTCCAGCTACAACAAGGATTGCAGGTGTAGAAAACCTCTCTGTTGGTTTGGGACAGAAACTTCTTTGTCTTATTGAACAGAAGGAAAATGTGGCTGGTTATAAAGAGGTATTTGAAAGAGAAAAGGGAATTCTGAGGAGAGTCCTTTGTGACACACTAAAACAAAGAGAAGATGTGGAAAACAGTTGGAATGAAACAATGAAGTGGGAAAAAGAAAAAGTTACTTCTCTTGAAGCAACCCTGAAAAAGAAAAGCAAGAAGTCGAATTAGAGAAACAAAAGATGTTGAATGATGAAATGGTGTTAGAGCTGATTAGGAATGACATCCAGACACAAAGTGAAATATTACAACAACACAAACAAGACATTCAACAACATAAGCAAGAGTTGGAAAGCACAATGGTGGAACTGCACAAGAAAACAGAAGAAACCAAGAATCTCTTTGATGGAATCAACAAAGAGAAATCTAACTCAAAGATGTCAACCTTAATCTGAAAACACAAGACGATAAACTGAAGGTTCTCATTGACGCAATCAGTTCAAAACCACAAGAACCAGAAGGAAAAGGCCCAGAAATTCACAAAAAACACCAAATTTAGAACTGTGTAGGAAAACATTACAGATGAAAAAACAAGAGCTGATGGTTTGATGAAAAATGTGAATAGCTTGAAGGAAAGTCTCAAAGATTCCATGAGCAGTGTCCATAAAGGTATAGAACAAATGATTTCCATGAAGAAGAATATTGGAAAAGACAGAGAGAAAACTATCAAGTGAAAAGAATCGCCTCCAAAGAGAATTGTCAGAGTGCAAAATGAGACAAGATAAACTCTTGGATGTAATGAAGTCAAAAGCAAACCTAAGACTAACACTTCAAGGAGTAAAAGACAAAGTGTGTGACTTGACCAACATTAAAATGAGGAGATTACACAAATGTCACAAAGATGCACAGTTATTATGTATTTCAATGGAGAAAAATGTTTCAACTATTGGTGACCAGATGAAAACTTTAACTCCATACAAAGAGGTAGCTGAAAGAGAAAAGATCAATCTAACATCCATCACTATTTCCATGAGGAATGAGAGAAAATGATGGAACGTCAATGGAAAGAAATGGTTGACCGGGATAAAAAGACCTAAACAAAATGACGGAAGAACTGAAACGGGAAACACAGAATCTGGAAAGAGTGACTGACAGAGTAGACAAAGGAAAGAGGCTTTAGAAGTGATGATGACCAATATCCAGAAACAGCGCGCAGTACTGCAACAAGAAAAACAAGATATTCAAGAAGAAAGAGAGAGAATAAACATTACAAATGCTGAACTCGACCAGAAGGCAGAAGAAACCAGCAGTTGCTTGGCAGAGATCAACAAAGAGAAAATGAAACTTAAACATTTGTCGGTTTTCAGTCCAAAGAAATCATGAAAGACTTCAAGACATCATGAACACGATTGCCCTACAACAGCAAGGCAGAGAAAGCAAAGATCATCTGTTCCAAACACAAACACAGGAACTACAATCTAAAAGGCTTCAACTACAGAAAGATAAGGAAGAGATGCAACTTTTGACGACAGCTGTGAATAAGATGAGAGAGTGGATTAAAGCTGCAATGATCACCGCCCAAAAAGAAAAGCAACTAGTGGATTATATGAGGATGCGCAAGGCAGAAGAAGAAATGCTCTCAATCCAGAATATAGAACTTGACAGAGAGAGGCCCGGGTTGACACCAAGAGAGGACAGCGGCTTGGACAAAAGTCAAATAACAGAACCTCAACAAGGACAGATCCAACACATAAAAGAGAAACTAAGTGAAAACATCAAATTGAAAATGGTCCAGCTACAACAAGGGATTGCAGGTGTAGAAAACCTCTCTGTTGGTTTGGGACAGAAACTTCTTTGTCTTATTGAACAGAAGGAAAATGTGGCTGGTTATAAAGAGGTATTTGAAAGAGAAAAGGGAATTCTGAGGAGAGTCCTTTGTGACACACTAAAACAAAGAGAAGATGTGGAAAACAGTTGGAATGAAACAATGAAGTGGGAAAAAGAAAAAGTTACTTCTCTTGAAGCAACCCTGAAAAAAGAAAAGCAAGAAGTCGAATTAGAGAAACAAAAGATGTTGAATGATGAAATGGTGTTAGAGCTGATTAGGAATGACATCCAGACACAAAGTGAAATATTACAACAACACAAACAAGACATTCAACAACATAAGCAAGAGTTGGAAAGCACAATGGTGGAACTGCACAAGAAAACAGAAGAAAACCAAGAATCTCTTTGATGGAATCAACAAAGAGAAATCTAAACTCAAAGATGTCAACCTTAATCTGAAAACACAAGACGATAAACTGAAGGTTCTCATTGACGCAATCAGTTCAAAACCACAAGAACCAGAAGGAAAAGGCCCAGAAATTCACACAAAAACACCAAATTTAGAACTGTGTAGGAAAACATTACAGATGAAAAAACAAGAGCTGATGGTTTTGATGAAAAATGTGAATAGCTTGAAGGAAAGTCTCAAAGATTCCATGAGCAGTGTCCATAAAGGTATAGAACAAATGATTTCCATGAAGAAGAATATTGGAAAAGACAGAGAGAAACTATCAAGTGAAAAGAATCGCCTCCAAAGAGAATTGTCAGAGTGCAAAATGAGACAAGATAAACTCTTGGATGTAATGAAGTCAAAAGCAAACCTAAGACTAACACTTCAAGGAGTAAAAGACAAAGTGTGTGACTTGACCAACATTAAAATGAGGAGATTACACAAATGTCATAAAGATGCACAGTTATTATGTATTTCAATGGAGAAAAATGTTTCAACTATTGGTGACCAGATGAAAACTTTAACTCCATACAAAGAGGTAGCTGAAAGAGAAAAGATCAATCTAACATCCATCACTATTTCCATGAGGAATGAGAGAAAATTGATGGAACGTCAATGGAAAGAAATGGTTGACCGGGATAAAAAAGACCTAAACAAAATGATGGAAGAACTGAAACGGGAAACACAGAATCTGGAAAGAGTGACTGACAGAGTAGACAAAGAAAAAGAGGCTTTAGAAGTGATGATGACCAATATCCAGAAACAGCGCGCAGTACTGCAACAAGAAAAACAAGATATTCAAGAAGAAAGAGAGAGAATAAACATTACAAATGCTGAACTCGACCAGAAGGCAGAAGAAACCAGCAGTTGCTTGGCAGAGATCAACAAAGAGAAAATGAAACTTAAACATTTGTCGGTTTCAGTCCAAAGAAATCATGAAAGACTTCAAGACATCATGAACACGATTGCCCTACAACAGCAAGGCAGAGAAAGCAAAGATCATCTGTTCCAAACACAAACACAGGAACTACAATCTAAAAGGCTTCAACTACAGAAAGATAAGGAAGAGATGCAACTTTTGACGACAGCTGTGAATAAGATGAGAGAGTGGATTAAAGCTGCAATGATCACCGCCCAAAAGGAAAAGCAACTAGTGGATTATATGAGGATGCGCAAGGCAGAAGAAGAAATGCTCTCAATCCAGAATATAGAACTTGACAGAGAGAGGCCCGGGTTGACACCAAGAGAGGACAGCGGCTTGGACAAAAGTCAAATAACAGAACCTCAACAAGGACAGATCCAACACATAAAAGAGAAACTAAGTGAAAACATCAAATTGAAAATGGTCCAGCTACAACAAGGGATTGCAGGTGTAGAAAACCTCTCTGTTGGTTTGGGACAGAAACTTCTTTGTCTTATTGAACAGAAGGAAAATGTGGCTGGTTATAAAGAGGTATTTGAAAGAGAAAAGGGAATTCTGAGGAGAGTCCTTTGTGACACACTAAAACAAAGAGAAGATGTGGAAAACCGTTGGAAGTGGGAAAAAGAAAAAGTTACTTCTCTTGAAGCAACCCTGAAAAAAGAAAAGCAAGAAGTCGAATTAGAGAAACAAAAGATGTTGAATGATGAAATGGTGTTAGAGCTGATTAGGAATGACATCCAGACACAAAGTGAAATATTACAACAACACAAACAAGACATTCAACAACATAAGCAAGAGTTGGAAAGCACAATGGTGGAACTGCACAAGAAAACAGAAGAAACCAAGAATCTCTTTGATGGAATCAACAAAGAGAAATCTAAACTCAAAGATGTCAACCTTAATCTGAAAACACAAGACGATAAACTGAAGGTTCTCATTGACGCAATCAGTTCAAAACCACAAGAACCAGAAGGAAAAGGCCCAGAAATTCACACAAAAACACCAAATTTAGAACTCTGTAGGAAAACATTACAGATGAAAAAACAAGAGCTGATGGTTTTGATGAAAAATGTGAATAGCTTGAAGGAAAGTCTCAAAGATTCCATGAGCAGTGTCCATAAAGGTATAGAACAAATGATTTCCATGAAGAAGAATATTGGAAAAGACAGAGAGAAACTATCAAGTGAAAAGAATCGCCTCCAAAGAGAATTGTCAGAGTGCAAAATGAGACAAGATAAACTCTTGGATGTAATGAAGTCAAAAGCAAACCTAAGACTAACACTTCAAGGAGTAAAAGACAAAGTGTGTGACTTGACCAACATTAAAATGAGGAGATTACACAAATGTCATAAAGATGCACAGTTATTATGTATTTCAATGGAGAAAAATGTTTCAACTATTGGTGACCAGATGAAAACTTTAACTCCATACAAAGAGGTAGCTGAAAGAGAAAAGATCAATCTAACATCCATCACTATTTCCATGAGGAATGAGAGAAAATTGATGGAACGTCAATGGAAAGAAATGGTTGACCGGGATAAAAAAGACCTAAACAAAATGATGGAAGAACTGAAACGGGAAACACAGAATCTGGAAAGAGTGACTGACAGAGTAGACAAAGAAAAAGAGGCTTTAGAAGTGATGATGACCAATATCCAGAAACAGCGCGCAGTACTGCAACAAGAAAAACAAGATATTCAAGAAGAAAGAGAGAGAATAAACATTACAAATGCTGAACTCGACCAGAAGGCAGAAGAAACCAGCAGTTGCTTGGCAGAGATCAACAAAGAGAAAATGAAACTTAAACATTTGTCGGTTTCAGTCCAAAGAAATCATGAAAGACTTCAAGACATCATGAACACGATTGCCCTACAACAGCAAGGCAGAGAAAGCAAAGATCATCTGTTCCAAACACAAACACAGGAACTACAATCTAAAAGGCTTCAACTACAGAAAGATAAGGAAGAGATGCAACTTTTGACGACAGCTGTGAATAAGATAAGAGAGTGGATTAAAGCTGCAATGATCACCGCCCAAAAGGAAAAGCAACTAGTGGATTATATGAGGATGCGCAAGGCAGAAGAAGAAATGCTCTCAATCCAGAATATAGAACTTGACAGAGAGAGGCCCGGGTTGACACCAAGAGAGGACAGCGGCTTGGACAAAAGTCAAATAACAGAACCTCAACAAGGACAGATCCAACACATAAAAGAGAAACTAAGTGAAAACATCAAATTGAAAATGGTCCAGCTACAACAAGGGATTGCAGGTGTAGAAAACCTCTCTGTTGGTTTGGGACAGAAACTTCTTTGTCTTATTGAACAGAAGGAAAATGTGGCTGGTTATAAAGAGGTATTTGAAAGAGAAAAGGGAATTCTGAGGAGAGTCCTTTGTGACACACTAAAACAAAGAGAAGATGTGGAAAACCGTTGGAAGTGGGAAAAAGAAAAAGTTACTTCTCTTGAAGCAACCCTGAAAAAAGAAAAGCAAGAAGTCGAATTAGAGAAACAAAAGATGTTGAATGATGAAATGGTGTTAGAGCTGATTAGGAATGACATCCAGACACAAAGTGAAATATTACAACAACACAAACAAGACATTCAACAACATAAGCAAGAGTTGGAAAGCACAATGGTGGAACTGCACAAGAAAACAGAAGAAACCAAGAATCTCTTTGATGGAATCAACAAAGAGAAATCTAAACTCAAAGATGTCAACCTTAATCTGAAAACACAAGACGATAAACTGAAGGTTCTCATTGACGCAATCAGTTCAAAACCACAAGAACCAGAAGGAAAAGGCCCAGAAATTCACACAAAAACACCAAATTTAGAACTCTGTAGGAAAACATTACAGATGAAAAAACAAGAGCTGATGGTTTTGATGAAAAATGTGAATAGCTTGAAGGAAAGTCTCAAAGATTCCATGAGCAGTGTCCATAAAGGTATAGAACAAATGATTTCCATGAAGAAGAATATTGGAAAAGACAGAGAGAAACTATCAAGTGAAAAGAATCGCCTCCAAAGAGAATTGTCAGAGTGCAAAATGAGACAAGATAAACTCTTGGATGTAATGAAGTCAAAAGCAAACCTAAGACTAACACTTCAAGGAGTAAAAGACAAAGTGTGTGACTTGACCAACATTAAAATGAGGAGATTACACAAATGTCACAAAGATGCACAGTTATTATGTATTTCAATGGAGAAAAATGTTTCAACTATTGGTGACCAGATGAAAACTTTAACTCCATACAAAGAGGTAGCTGAAAGAGAAAAGATCAATCTAACATCCATCACTATTTCCATGAGGAATGAGAGAAAATTGATGGAACGTCAATGGAAAGAAATGGTTGACCGGGATAAAAAAGACCTAAACAAAATGACGGAAGAACTGAAACGGGAAACACAGAATCTGGAAAGAGTGACTGACAGAGTAGACAAAGAAAAAGAGGCTTTAGAAGTGATGATGACCAATATCCAGAAACAGCGCGCAGTACTGCAACAAGAAAAACAAGATATTCAAGAAGAAAGAGAGAGAATAAACATTACAAATGCTGAACTCGACCAGAAGGCAGAAGAAACCAGCAGTTGCTTGGCAGAGATCAACAAAGAGAAAATGAAACTTAAACATTTGTCGGTTTCAGTCCAAAGAAATCATGAAAGACTTCAAGACATCATGAACACGATTGCCCTACAACAGCAAGGCAGAGAAAGCAAAGATCATCTGTTCCAAACACAAACACAGGAACTACAATCTAAAAGGCTTCAACTACAGAAAGATAAGGAAGAGATGCAACTTTTGACGACAGCTGTGAATAAGATGAGAGAGTGGATTAAAGCTGCAATGATCACCGCCCAAAAGGAAAAGCAACTAGTGGATTATATGAGGATGCGCAAGGCAGAAGAAGAAATGCTCTCAATCCAGAATATAGAACTTGACAGAGAGAGGCCCGGGTTGACACCAAGAGAGGACAGCGGCTTGGACAAAAGTCAAATAACAGAACCTCAACAAGGACAGATCCAACACATAAAAGAGAAACTAAGTGAAAACATCAAATTGAAAATGGTCCAGCTACAACAAGGGATTGCAGGTGTAGAAAACCTCTCTGTTGGTTTGGGACAGAAACTTCTTTGTCTTATTGAACAGAAGGAAAATGTGGCTGGTTATAAAGAGGTATTTGAAAGAGAAAAGGGAATTCTGAGGAGAGTCCTTTGTGACACACTAAAACAAAGAGAAGATGTGGAAAACCGTTGGAAGTGGGAAAAAGAAAAAGTTACTTCTCTTGAAGCAACCCTGAAAAAAGAAAAGCAAGAAGTCGAATTAGAGAAACAAAAGATGTTGAATGATGAAATGGTGTTAGAGCTGATTAGGAATGACATCCAGACACAAAGTGAAATATTACAACAACACAAACAAGACATTCAACAACATAAGCAAGAGTTGGAAAGCACAATGGTGGAACTGCACAAGAAAACAGAAGAAACCAAGAATCTCTTTGATGGAATCAACAAAGAGAAATCTAAACTCAAAGATGTCAACCTTAATCTGAAAACACAAGACGATAAACTGAAGGTTCTCATTGACGCAATCAGTTCAAAACCACAAGAACCAGAAGGAAAAGGCCCAGAAATTCACACAAAAACACCAAATTTAGAACTCTGTAGGAAAACATTACAGATGAAAAAACAAGAGCTGATGGTTTTGATGAAAAATGTGAATAGCTTGAAGGAAAGTCTCAAAGATTCCATGAGCAGTGTCCATAAAGGTATAGAACAAATGATTTCCATGAAGAAGAATATTGGAAAAGACAGAGAGAAACTATCAAGTGAAAAGAATCGCCTCCAAAGAGAATTGTCAGAGTGCAAAATGAGACAAGATAAACTCTTGGATGTAATGAAGTCAAAAGCAAACCTAAGACTAACACTTCAAGGAGTAAAAGACAAAGTGTGTGACTTGACCAACATTAAAATGAGGAGATTACACAAATGTCATAAAGATGCACAGTTACTATGTATTTCAATGGAGAAAAATGTTTCAACTATTGGTGACCAGATGAAAACTTTAACTCCATACAAAGAGGTAGCTGAAAGAGAAAAGATCAATCTAACATCCATCACTATTTCCATGAGGAATGAGAGAAAATTGATGGAACGTCAATGGAAAGAAATGGTTGACCGGGATAAAAAAGACCTAAACAAAATGACGGAAGAACTGAAACGGGAAACACAGAATCTGGAAAGAGTGACTGACAGAGTAGACAAAGAAAAAGAGGCTTTAGAAGTGATGATGACCAATATCCAGAAACAGCGTTCAGTACTGCAACAAGAAAAACAAGATATTCAAGAAGAAAGAGAGAGAATAAACATTACAAATGCTGAACTCGACCAGAAGGCAGAAGAAACCAGCAGTTGCTTGGCAGAGATCAACAAAGAGAAAATGAAACTTAAACATTTGTCGGTTTCAGTCCAAAGAAATCATGAAAGACTTCAAGACATCATGAACACGATTGCCCTACAACAGCAAGGCAGAGAAAGCAAAGATCATCTGTTCCAAACACAAACACAGGAACTACAATCTAAAAGGCTTCAACTACAGAAAGATAAGGAAGAGATGCAACTTTTGACGACAGCTGTGAATAAGATGAGAGAGTGGATTAAAGCTGCAATGATCACCGCCCAAAAGGAAAAGCAACTAGTGGATTATATGAGGATGCGCAAGGCAGAAGAAGAAATGCTCTCAATCCAGAATATAGAACTTGACAGAGAGAGGCCCGGGTTGACACCAAGAGAGGACAGCGGCTTGGACAAAAGTCAAATAACAGAACCTCAACAAGGACAGATCCAACACATAAAAGAGAAACTAAGTGAAAACATCAAATTGAAAATGGTCCAGCTACAACAAGGGATTGCAGGTGTAGAAAACCTCTCTGTTGGTTTGGGACAGAAACTTCTTTGTCTTATTGAACAGAAGGAAAATGTGGCTGGTTATAAAGAGGTATTTGAAAGAGAAAAGGGAATTCTGAGGAGAGTCCTTTGTGACACACTAAAACAAAGAGAAGATGTGGAAAACCGTTGGAAGTGGGAAAAAGAAAAAGTTACTTCTCTTGAAGCAACCCTGAAAAAAGAAAAGCAAGAAGTCGAATTAGAGAAACAAAAGATGTTGAATGATGAAATGGTGTTAGAGCTGATTAGGAATGACATCCAGACACAAAGTGAAATATTACAACAACACAAACAAGACATTCAACAACATAAGCAAGAGTTGGAAAGCACAATGGTGGAACTGCACAAGAAAACAGAAGAAACCAAGAATCTCTTTGATGGAATCAACAAAGAGAAATCTAAACTCAAAGATGTCAACCTTAATCTGAAAACACAAGACGATAAACTGAAGGTTCTCATTGACGTAATCAGTTCAAAACCACAAGAACCAGAAGGAAAAGGCCCAGAAATTCACACAAAAACACCAAATTTAGAACTCTGTAGGAAAACATTACAGATGAAAAAACAAGAGCTGATGGTTTTGATGAAAAATGTGAATAGCTTGAAGGAAAGTCTCAAAGATTCCATGAGCAGTGTCCATAAAGGTATAGAACAAATGATTTCCATGAAGAAGAATATTGGAAAAGACAGAGAGAAACTATCAAGTGAAAAGAATCGCCTCCAAAGAGAATTGTCAGAGTGCAAAATGAGACAAGATAAACTCTTGGATGTAATGAAGTCAAAAGCAAACCTAAGACTAACACTTCAAGGAGTAAAAGACAAAGTGTGTGACTTGACCAACATTAAAATGAGGAGATTACACAAATGTCATAAAGATGCACAGTTACTATGTATTTCAATGGAGAAAAATGTTTCAACTATTGGTGACCAGATGAAAACTTTAACTCCATACAAAGAGGTAGCTGAAAGAGAAAAGATCAATCTAACATCCATCACTATTTCCATGAGGAATGAGAGAAAATTGATGGAACGTCAATGGAAAGAAATGGTTGACCGGGATAAAAAAGACCTAAACAAAATGACGGAAGAACTGAAACGGGAAACACAGAATCTGGAAAGAGTGACTGACAGAGTAGACAAAGAAAAAGAGGCTTTAGAAGTGATGATGACCAATATCCAGAAACAGCGTTCAGTACTGCAACAAGAAAAACAAGATATTCAAGAAGAAAGAGAGAGAATAAACATTACAAATGCTGAACTCGACCAGAAGGCAGAAGAAACCAGCAGTTGCTTGGCAGAGATCAACAAAGAGAAAATGAAACTTAAACATTTGTCGGTTTCAGTCCAAAGAAATCATGAAAGACTTCAAGACATCATGAACACGATTGCCCTACAACAGCAAGGCAGAGAAAGCAAAGATCATCTGTTCCAAACACAAACACAGGAACTACAATCTAAAAGGCTTCAACTACAGAAAGATAAGGAAGAGATGCAACTTTTGACGACAGCTGTGAATAAGATGAGAGAGTGGATTAAAGCTGCAATGATCACCGCCCAAAAGGAAAAGCAACTAGTGGATTATATGAGGATGCGCAAGGCAGAAGAAGAAATGCTCTCAATCCAGAATATAGAACTTGACAGAGAGAGGCCCGGGTTGACACCAAGAGAGGACAGCGGCTTGGACAAAAGTCAAATAACAGAACCTCAACAAGGACAGATCCAACACATAAAAGAGAAACTAAGTGAAAACATCAAATTGAAAATGGTCCAGCTACAACAAGGGATTGCAGGTGTAGAAAACCTCTCTGTTGGTTTGGGACAGAAACTTCTTTGTCTTATTGAACAGAAGGAAAATGTGGCTGGTTATAAAGAGGTATTTGAAAGAGAAAAGGGAATTCTGAGGAGAGTCCTTTGTGACACACTAAAACAAAGAGAAGATGTGGAAAACAGTTGGAATGAAACAATGAAGTGGGAAAAAGAAAAAGTTACTTCTCTTGAAGCAACCCTGAAAAAAGAAAAGCAAGAAGTCGAATTAGAGAAACAAAAGATGTTGAATGATGAAATGGTGTTAGAGCTGATTAGGAATGACATCCAGACACAAAGTGAAATATTACAACAACACAAACAAGACATTCAACAACATAAGCAAGAGTTGGAAAGCACAATGGTGGAACTGCACAAGAAAACAGAAGAAACCAAGAATCTCTTTGATGGAATCAACAAAGAGAAATCTAAACTCAAAGATGTCAACCTTAATCTGAAAACACAAGACGATAAACTGAAGGTTCTCATTGACGCAATCAGTTCAAAACCACAAGAACCAGAAGGAAAAGGCCCAGAAATTCACACAAAAACACCAAATTTAGAACTCTGTAGGAAAACATTACAGATGAAAAAACAAGAGCTGATGGTTTTGATGAAAAATGTGAATAGCTTGAAGGAAAGTCTCAAAGATTCCATGAGCAGTGTCCATAAAGGTATAGAACAAATGATTTCCATGAAGAAGAATATTGGAAAAGACAGAGAGAAACTATCAAGTGAAAAGAATCGCCTCCAAACAGAATTGTCAGAGTGCAAAATGAGACAAGATAAACTCTTGGATGTAATGAAGTCAAAAGCAAACCTAAGACTAACACTTAAGGAAGAAAGAGATAGAGTGAACAGTACAAAAACAGAGCCAGACCAGAAGGCAGAGAAAGCCAACAATTTTGTTGAAGAAATCAAGAAACTCGACCAAAATGTAAATGAAGCACCAAAGAAGATTGAGATTTTTTCTAGCTTCATCGAAAAATTAGGACATCTCAATCTGATGACCTTTGAACTTTTCCAAAACAGTATAGAGTTTTTGGATGGAAAAAGTAAATGTCTCACCCACTTTTTGTCATCATTTAAAACCAGTAGAGATTTTTATTTTATTAGAGGCATTATTAGTCGTCATTTAAACTGGATAAAACAACAAAGACAACACTTGAACCAAACCGTATGTGATAAGGTACCACAAACTGAGAGTCAGACTTATCAGAGAGTGGAGTCATATAAACAGAATGTGAGTCCTTTTAAAACTGGCAGACCTGAATTGGAACTTCAGAATCTCAACTTTGTTGAAACTGAATACTACCTAAGTTCTCAGGAGGATGATGATTTTAAAACTTTGAGTAAATATACAACCTTTTACAGGGAATGGCCAGAACCAGCACTCAATGATAATAGTGATGTAGAGAACAGAAAGAAGATTGCAACTTCTCCCAGGGTTTCAACTAGGACAGAGGACTATATTAAACATTCAAAAAGTAATTCCTTACAAAGGTCCTGGAAGGACACCAGAATGGAATTTAAGGAGATTAACTTGATGAAGCACATAGGTCAGAAAATTAGAAATAATTTGGACAAAAGGCTAAAAGAAATAATTCATTTTGATAAAATAACACTAAAAGAAACACTTATACACAATACACCAGGAAAAGGAACATACACATTATCTCAGGGAAACTTTGACAGTTCTTCCAAAACTGCCAATATAAAATATATTGAGCTTCAACAGCTTAAATTTCACATGCTGAGTCTGATTGAAAGTCTTCAAGTGAAAGAGAACACAAGTAATCAAACTTTTCAGAATGCAATAATCCCAGAAAAAATGCAGGAAATGCAAGAGCAGGACGAAGCAGGAGGGGAAGAATATGAAGCAGTGACGTCACGCAGATTTCTCTGTTTACTGCAACATTACTGCTGTCGCTGCTGCTGTCATTGTTGTACCTGTCAAAAGCATGTGTGGCCAAAGAAAAATGGAAACATGAATGCCTAAAATATATAAATGTGTGTGTGCATGTGTGTAAGCTAAGTTTTTCTGCGGCTAATATTTCTCTTAGTAAATGAAAATGTGAAATAAAATTGTCATTAGCAAGACATCTAAGATTCAGCACAGATTATCAGGCAAATATTCAGAATGTTGTAAAAGCTATGTCATGATGTCAATTTTGTTTTGAAAATCTTGAATTTAAGTATGTATCATGCTTTAGTGCTATAAATGTAGTGCAATGTAATTGTAGAATTTCCTAAACAGTATTTTCATTAAAGAAATTATAGTGTACCAAATTCTTCTGTCGGTGAAGTCTCTTTGCTGTTTGTTTTGAATCTCGTTTTTAACACTTAATACATTTAATGTATAATGGAGACTATTTACACAGAACAAGTTTAGCCTAGTTAATCTTCATGGCTCCATGCAGCAGCTTGTTTGTCATTTGGTTCCTATGTATTAGAAATAAACTGATGTTAATCACTCATAACCTAGTCTTGTGTCCATTATTACATTCAGAGTGTGAACCAACTATGACACATAACATAGAATAGAATGCCTTTCCTTACTGTTATTGAACATACTACAAGAAAATTGCTTGATTACTTGATTAATCGATTTTGATATTTAAGGAAAAATTATATGCACATTTGAATTAAAATAGTGAGTTTTTTATGAATCCATGTTAATAAAGGCATTGTAAATACAGCATATGTTAGAAATGTAACATATTGTCAGGTACAATGCCAATTTCTCTGATACTGTTAAGTCCTCACATAGATAAAGCAGTTACAATAAGTTGCTCTTTTACAGAGCCTTACCTGACTGTGTGTAAATACACAAATCGTTTAACAGTAGTGTCGCACTGAAATAAACACATTAACTTTGTTCAGTAAACACATTAATTTTGTTTTTGTGGATCTTTCTCTATAAACTCTGGTATTGACAATAGACCCAGTTTTAAGAAAACATGAACACGAGTTCAGAAACAAATCAGTTTGTGTTTGCAGAAACTGATTTCTGTATCAATGGTGCATTGTCATGGATGACAATGCAGCATCTGTATTTCTTGCAGCATGAAATGCTGCAAGAATACCACTGTGTCATTGGCTGCTATGGGCATAAAAGGGGAGAAACTCATGGTGTGGTCACCATCCTCCTCTGACCTCTGACCTTAACCCTATTGAGAATCTTTGGAGTTTTCTCAAGCAAAAGATCTGAGGCTGGAATGCAGTTTATATCAAAACAGCAGCTCTGGGAAGGTTTTCTGACATCCTCCAAAGAAATTCAAGCAGAAACGTTCCACAAACTCACAAGTTCAATGGATGCAAGAATTGTGCTGGTGATATCAAAGAAGGGGTCCTATGTTAATGTAACCTGGTTGAGTTTCTCTTCTGTTATAATTACTCAAAATGTATTTTTTTTTTGGTTATTTGTATGGGGACCTACCTGACTGAAAATCTCTGTTATTGTTTTAACTGTTACTTTTTGTTTCTTCTTCTGTGGTATTGTCTTTAAAATGTTTGCGTGACTTACACCCTCCCCTTTTGTCATGTTGTCCTGTGGGAGAGGTGTGTACTATTTATTTTGTATCTAAATACATCCAGTTTATTTATTTTGTTAAGGTTAACACCTGTTGAACATATATTAACAAAGACAGAAAAGACAAACAGAGTCGGTATTCTTGCTACTCGCGAGGAGAACGGACAGAGATGTGCTCCAGTTACAATCTCCTGCCGCTCTGAAGCACATTTGTCCGCTCCTCACTTTTATTGTTTCAGGATCCCTAATCACAAGGACGCTGCAGCTCCAAAGGGAGGGGAAAACAATTCATCACACAGCTACAGCGCCAGTTGTCATTTACTAACTAATACACAAATTATCCTGGACTAGATAATCTCGTTCCTGACACAAAGTCTAGCAGAATATACTGTGATTCTTCACAGTGACAGTTTTATAACATTCCAGCAACTCAGCAAAGCAAAGCTCTTCACCAAGAGATAAAACTTCAGGAAAACACTCTCTGCTTTCCATCAGTGAGGCCTTCTGAGAAAAGAATCAGAGCAAATCAACAATACAAGAAACATTCTTAATTCTATAATGAGATTAACTTAAAGGAAAGCATAAAATAAAGATACATTATAAAGATCAATGAGAATAACAAATATTTGATTAATTATATCACAATTTCTCCAACAGATTTATTAAGTTAATTTCTGTTATGTACTTTTGTTTATGTAGGACTTGGAGCGGGCAGCCTGTAACACAATTCTTTTCTATTTGTTGTACTTGTCAGGTATGTTGTATACAAAGGTTTATTTAGCATATTTAACAAGTTGTGAGATATGGTCTGCACCCTTTCGTCATGTTGTCCTGTGGGAGAGGACTTGGAGCAGTCCTCTCCCACATGAGCGTGTAACACTGTTCTTTTCTGTTTGTTGTTCTTGTCAGAATAAACCAAGGAATCATCCTATAAAAGGCGTACCACGGCCTGATCATTTTAAACCAGCACAACGCAGATCGAATCCGGTTACATTAACATGTAACTCGGCAAGATCTTTTTGATTGAAATAGTTTTTGATTTGAGTACATGTGACTACTTAATGCTGCACATGCTGTGCATAATAATTTGGAACAGTGCATTTTGAATTTTTTATTTTTGAAAAAAAAACTGTTCTCATGCAGAACTTTGTTCGGTAAAATTTTATTTATACTATGACCTGAAAAAGGGCTGCACAGTGGTGCAGTTGGTAGCACTGTTGCCTTGCAGCAAGAAGGTCCTGGGTTCAATTCCGGGCCGGCGTCTTTCTGCAGAGTTTGCATGTTCTCCCTGTGCATGGTGGGTTCTTTCCGGGTTCTCCGGCTTCCTCCCACAGTCCAAAAACATGACTGTCAGGTTAATTGGTCTTTCCAAATTCTCCCTTCGTGTGAGTGTGTGTATGTGTGTGTGTGTATGGTTGTTTGTCCTGTTTGTGTCTGTGTTGACCTGCGATGGACTGGCGATCTGTCCAGGGTGAACCCCGCCTCCACCCGGAACGCAGCTGGAGAGGCACCAGCAACTCCCGACCCCGTTAGGGAGAAGGGTGATCAGAAAATGGATGGATGGACTTGAAAATTATACTGACCATCATTTGCATTGACCACTTAAGAAAATCTGAGAAAATATTACTTGCATAATAATTTGAAACATGTGTGTTTGTTGTCCCCACACGCTCAAGCTCATGAACTGAAGGATAACTGCATCTCAGTCCTTTTCTTCCCTTCTGGATAAAATGCTTGAATACCTTCTTGATCTCTGACTTTGGGGTTTAAGCTACAACATAATTTTACAAGGTAAATATGCTGGTACTATGGTGACATTTTATTTATGTAAAAGTCACAGTGTAAAGAGTAACCAATCTCATGTAATTTAGGTGAATGTAGCTTTGTTCTTTTTTAAACAGTCAATGCAGCACAGTTTGCAGAGACAATAAGACTGAAATATCAGACTGAAATATCAGTCTTATTGTGAAGATTTGGGTTTTCTGTGTGTTTATTTAGTTCCTGTGTCATCTTGTCCACCCCTTGATTGATCCCAGCTGTGTCCTGTTTCCCCTGATTGCCTTCCTTGTGTATCTGTATATATATAGACACAGACAGAAGACCTTCTGTCTGTGTCTGTCTTCCTGTTGGGTCCTGCAGTCGTATGGCATTGAATTTGCTTCTTTACCAGCTGCTACGAGTGATTGAGCTCTTCGCCTTTCGCTCACCAGTGCTGCCTGGATTTTGTAAACCTTTGTCATAGAGTCTTTGTCAGTAAACCATCATTATTGCACCTCCTCCTGGATCCATCCGTGTTTACCTCACCACCAAAAGTACAAATCATGACACTTAAACTGCTTGTCTGAAATTACAGAATTTTTTTTTCTCAAAGTAGATACCAAAAAAATGTTACAGCACTTCAGTAAAAAAAAAAGAAAAAAAAAAGGCTAAATTCAAATTAATGTTAGTCTTGATAATCCCAAGTCTAGCAAATTGTCCAGTAACAAAAAATGTCTACCCAGGTTAATCCTTAACAGAGTCATGTGGGCTGGTGCCTGAATTTACTTAGACAAATAGTTTGCCCTGGATCTTTTTAATGCAATATCAGTGTTGGAACATGTGAGACATACATATCTCTGTTTAATAAATGTGCTTTAAAGTTATCCAACAAAGTTCTTCTGCCAAGTCACTGCACTCATTCCTTCTGAAATGTTAATGTCTAATTCAGTAATTAGGTGGGCAATCCTAATTACCAGGGCAATCCTGGTCCTCAAGGGCCGGTGTCCTGAAACTCTTAGACATCTCTCTGGTCCAACACAGCTGAATCAAATTGCTGAATCACTTCCTAAGTGCAGTCAAGTTCTTCAGAGTCCTGCTAATGGCCTCATTATTTGACTGAGGCGTGTGGAAGTAGAGACACATCTAAAAGTTGCAGGAGGCCGGCCTTGAAGGACTGGAAAATCCCATCCCTGATCTATTTCAATGTTTCCCAACGCTGGTCGTCGAGGCACACTGCTCTGCATGTTTTAGGTTTTTCTTTGCTTCAACCAAGCTGATTTCAGTTGATGTCTGATTAACAGGTTTTGACCACGAGTATTAAAGCAAAAAAACATCTAATACATCCAGGGCAGTGTTTGAGGACCAGAATTGGAAAACGCTAGCCTAATGTATGTATTTCAAATCAAATGTAAGTCACCATAAAATTCCTGAATCATAATGCATCATAGCAATTAGACAATAAATTATATTATTGTATATTTAGAACATTGGTATTTATTAGGATTTGTATTCTGAAATAAACATTTGGAAGCATGACACAAAGCTTCAGCTCAAAAATGAGAATGCATTTTCTCATAAACAGTGTATTAAAAACACAGAGGAAAATGTATGTAGGTTTCATTAGAGTCAAATAAATCGATTCTGCTAATGGTAAGTTAATTTTCAATCTTTTGGCACATTCTCCTGATTGTTATGATGCTTAATGTTGTCATTTGGATGTGTGACAATGTCTAAGTATCTGAATGATTATATCAAGATGGTGACTAATGCTTTTCTGCTTTCATAAAACTTATAGTTTATACTAGAATTAAAATCTAAATAGCATCAAAAAAGAGGCAAATGATGTTTAGACATTTAATTCAGTCAAAATTACAGTAGGTATTTTGCCAGCGATTTGCATGAGGAAAAATCACATCTCTTCATCATATTGTTAGGACTTTCTGGTGTTTGTCACGTACATCATTTATCTTTGGAGCTCCTCGATCAAAGCTAGAAGAGACAAAAATTAATGTCATGACATTTCTAGTATTTTGTAGAAAATGTACAGCACACAATTACAAACTAGTGTTGGACCTGACTTTAAATAGCAAGTGAATTTTTTATGTTTCTTGAAGACATTTTGAAGACAACTTCTCAACCAAAATAGTTTAAAACCTTACCTTTGATAATCTCATCCTTAATCTTGTTAAA